TAAATATCACATTCATAATTGAAATGGCAGGGCGAGGTGAGAGAGATTTCTTCTAAATTAAACATGCCAAGCTTTTTGAAATGGCAAACAACACCAAAAAAAGAGCAACGAAACACTTGAATGAAATGAACAAGTGCGTTTTAATTATTTGCATGTGCAAAGAAAAAGACACGAACGAGATAATGATTTGCAAAAGCAAAACAACAACGACGACGACGACGAAAACCGACGCGAAAACAGGATTAATTTTCTTCAGTCAGTGGTAGATTTATGGAAAGAATTTCATCAAATTAAAAAAGCAAATCAATGCCATTGCTCATTGCGTCAAATGGGTGTATTTCTACCAGGGCAATCATTATTATTTAAGCCCTATTTTTGTTACTGTCTCTCACTTTTTTTTTGTTTTGTTTTGTTTGTTTCTTCAATTTTCCCTGTCTGCCGCTGTTGTGACGTGTGTCTTTTTCTGTTTGTGTTCAATCGCATCATCCGCTGATTAGCATCGGCACTTTAGATATAATTCAATAAACAGCGCGCAATGATTTTCGTCATTTTTTCAACACCATCGACCGAGACTGTTTCCAAGTATCATTGTCATTGTGCGGGTGCTCATTTGGATTACTTCAATTGGCTCTAGTGCGATGAGTTTGAGCATATAAGCATTTTTTTTTATACATATATATATATGTTTCATTGTTTTGCTTGTTTGCTACCAAAAAAGCAACAAACAAAGAGTACCGAGCATCAATAAGAAGTAAGACTAATGCTAAAGTGAACGATGTTGCTATAACGAACTGAAGAAGAAAAAATTCATTATGAACGTATTACGTAAGAAAAACAAATCATTAAAATCATCGGATCATATGGAACAGCATAACATTTGGTAGGCCACTCGTCAAACCGGAACAATGTGAGCAAGAACAGGAAGTGAACCAAGAGATAGAACCAAGAGCAAACACACGATTCGGAAAATGACAAATTGCAGCAGCCATTGTAATTTAATTTGATTTTTTTTTATAGATAATTTGAATGGATCTGCTCGATATATGCGAAGGAGAGTCGGATTTTTTTTTTGTCGGAATCGAACCGTGAACTTGTTCACATTTACTGGCAAGCAAGTAACCCATGACGATGATGGTAGCATCTATACTAACACGATAGCAAAAAAAAACTGCCAAAACCATATCGTTTTTTGATCCAACGGCTTGGAATCGATACTTGCTGTAGCGCGAGTGGCAATTTATAAATATAAAAACGAATGAGAGGCGACAATAAACACACACACACACACACATAGGCCAATGTTGTATGGTTTCTGCGTTGGCGTGTCCAAAATAACAACCGAAAAGAAGCTTTTCCATAACAATGGCCATGTATGTGATTGATAGTGCAAAGGAGCGAGCGAAAGAGTGAACGGTAGCCAATCCAATCGCGTGCTGTTGCTCTGATTTCGTAAATAGACGCCACACAGCTGTCGATCAAGCTCATTGATAAAGTGTCAAATTTAGATGAATCGCAAATCATTGAATTTCAAATTGGTGAAATTTGGTCAACCAGTTGATCGAATTAAGCGAGGAGAGAACGAAACGATACAACAAAAAGAGTCAGTGGAACTGGTCTAAATGACGCGATATTTGAATGACGTTGATCTCGTGAACGAAAAATTGCAATAAATTTTTCGGACGTTAGTGTTGCGCGATTGGTTTTTTTGTCTCTTTATTCTTCTTCTCCTTCTTTCTCAGACTGCCTTGATCCATATGACATTTTCAATGATGCTTCGACGAAGAGCAAAACCATATGCAAATTTTATGAGCGAGAGACTGTACTCTGTGTATATGTTTGTCGACGCACGGGTCCAATTACGTCATTACGAGAGAGAGAGAGAGAGAGAGAGCAAAGGCATTAGAAGCGAAAACGCGTTATCGGCATTTATCTGTCATTAATTTGGCAACTGGTATGCAGTGGAAATGTCGAATTAGGACAAATGGCAGACATTGTATGCGATCGTGTATGTTCAATCTCTCTGTTTCTCTTTCTGTCTGTATGTGTGTCTCTTTATCTATTCGGTGCCAATGGCACTCGTCGAATCTCCGTGCATTTAATTCGTTTGTTGATGTTAATGTGTGTGCGCTCGCTCGCTCGCTCGCGATGTTTTTATCTCGTCACTTTTTTTCTCTCTCGCTTCTCTGTATATTTCTATTATTATTATTGTTTGCCGGGTTCTTAATGGTTTTGGTTGTTGGCCGCTTATTACGCTCACCTTGAAAACATTTATCGAACCCACACTTTTTTCGAAGTCAGCGAATACTGCGGTAATCTACGGCGCACTACATGTATGAAACAAAAGGACAGTTTTTCAAGTGGTAATTGTTCGTGGCCAATCGACAAATCGACTACATTTTTTTTGTGTGTCTAGCGAAGCATATACATGTATCGCTAATCGAAACCATATTCAGTTGTGAGCGCCGAAATACTAATTGAATTCAATTGAATGTGTCTGTGCGTTTTCCGTATGGAGGGGGGGGGAGAGCGTGCGCGCGCCCAACCAAGCGCACGTACTCAACTACGCGCTCGAAGAGCCAAGAGACAAGAAACAAAGCACAGAACGCATTTCCAATTACAAGCAATAAAGACATCAGCGGCTTGTTATGTGTATTTATTTTTCTTCGTTCAAAAAAAAAAAAAATTAAAATGTACTCATTCGCCAGGCAAAGACATTCCAGGGGGAGTCACGAATTATTCGCACGTACACAAGCCAACACGCATACACACAGGCAAATCAAAATTCGCATACTCGTGAACATTCGGCCAACCGGTCGTCTTCGCAGTGTGTGCATTTGAAAACGCCTCAGCAACTGTAACTAATTAAAAATAAGCGGCGATTGCGATTCGTTTTCTCTGGTTGAAAAGCACTGCTTGAACTCTAAGACAGTTTATCCCGGTTTGATTTGAAAAGTTTTCCCATTTTGGAAAATTAATCATTTATTTTCGCCATTCCGGAATGAATCTGCAAATTGACACAAACAAAACGTCTATCTCATATTGTGACGGAAGAAAGAGAGCAACAGAGACTCTCACACACATCGCACTTATGAATTACAATCCATGATGTCGCTACATTTGCTGCTGCTGCTGCTGCTGTGGCCACATTTGTTGTATGTGATTGTGCCTCTTCATATGTGCGCCTGTGTTTTTCTTCGTCTCGTTCGCGCCGCTTCGCATTCATAATGCCTTCCAATTCATTTGTGTGTGCAGTTTTGCGTTTGCAGATAGGAGTCTGAGCCTCTACAGGCTCAAACAAACAATGTTTGGCTGTATCGGGTGACGCGATTCTCTTTTCGGATGCCGTTTTTGTTGCTGCTGTTGTTGTTGGCATTTGCAACATTGTTTGCGATTGAAATGTGTGCGCTCTCTGAACTTGTCCGTTTTTTCCTTTCAAAAGCAAACGAGAGAGTGAGAGAGAGAGAGAGAGAGAGAGAATGACAAGCACATCCTCTTTTGTATTCATCACAAAATGAATGTCATTTCGTTTTCATTCGAAACTCTTTGACTCGTTCGTACCCTAATATTCGTGTCTATCAACATTGTTAATGACTATCGACTGGTTTATGACTTTTTCTAGTGCAGTTGACGAAAAAAAAGAGAACCAGCTGCAATCTTCGAAAAATTGGCCGAATAAAAAGCGAAAAACTGCGCCTGATACGCAGATAGATAACGTCGCAATTTCACATATACATATTCTTTCAGTCTAATAATGGCACACACAAATGTGATCGTGTTCCTTTTTTTTAAATTTTGCGATGATTTTTTTTTTATTTATCAAAATGACAAATTGGTCATCTCCTGAAGAACATTGATCGATTAGCGAAATAGCTTTCTTGAAAATGTCATCGCAGCGATGCGGCTCAAAATCAGTTGTCTATCTTCTCGATTTGATCAGATCGATTGTTCAAAACTAATTAAGCTATAACATTTAGATTATTCGTTTCCTTTTTGGCTATTTCGCTTTCGCTCTCCTACTTTGTCTCGCGCGCGTTCTCTTAACTTTTTAAAAAGTTTGTTGGAATTAATGCGTGTTTCGAATCTTGAACTCGTTTTTTTCCGCACTCCCAAGAACAACACAATTCTCGCGATCAGATGAACATTGGAAACGGATGATCGAACAATGCACGGAAATATATATTGTGTATTTTATCCGATCGTTTTTTTCTTCTTCAAATTTTTTGCTTTGTGGTTCTTTCCTTCTCTCCATTTAAACCGAGCTAAATGTTCTGGGGCTTTGTACACACATGAATCGCGTTCAAAGTTTCAACTTGAAACTTAATATCGCGCCAAAAAAAATGATTGTTTCGATTTCACAATATTATCAAAGCCCCCATTGTAATGATAATTCCATCGTTTTACTCCTTCTTTCTCTCTCTCTGTCTGTTTGTCTCTTCCTTCTCGCCAAAATTTGAACACAAACTCTAACACACACATACACACACGCTGTCTCATTCGATAATAAAATTCAGCACAGAATATGCAACCAGATTGTCATCATTCAATCGATAATTTTGTTGATAAACACAAAAATAGATTAATTGATTATTCAATAGCGCGGCACAAGCGTTGAGACGAAGAGAAAAAAAAAACTATAAATACGATAAATTGAATGAATCCTTTTTTCCCCCTTGTACGGCATTTGGTTAAAAAAAAGTCATTTGATCAGTCGATTGGTTGCCTGGTTGGTGGCTTTGGAATTCGTTTGTCAAAGCTTTTTCGGCATTGCAAACACTTGAAAGATTATGCATGTACGTAACAACAATTAAGACGTGTGAAAAGGTTTAGCGTGCGATAGAGAGCATTCGACCGTACAAACCGAGTGCAAAGCAATCGCAACCGAAAAAAACAACAACAGAAACCGAAACAACAACACTGAGTCGAAGAATTTTTCAGATGTTTGGCATTTTACTTAGAAGAACACATAAATTATTGACTGACGTCTGTCTGTTAATACTTACTTTAAGTTAGGTCGTTTCTTTCTCTCTCTCTCTCTCTATCACGGCGGCCTCTATCACGGCGGCTAAACGTCAAAATCGTTTTTTTTTCGCTCGATGAGACAAACTCACAAAGTTGCACCGCAAAATTATTCGTACACCGCGTATAGCAACACACCGATTGAAAACATATCACAAACGAGAGGCGGCAAAAAAAGACACTCGCACAAAATACACAGAGAGAGAATCCACTAAAAAAGAACCACTGTCAGAATAGCGCACACAAAAAGTAAGGAAAAAAAAAATCTGAGCAGTGCAAATTGAATGAATTGAAAAAAAGGAAAAACTTCGCGAAACCAAAGCACTAAAAATTATACGTAAGTGAATCGAAGAAGCCCAGCGGCACAATCAAACACATGTGTTTGTAGCATTTATTTTTACTCGATGTGTTATACTCTCTCTCTCTCACTCACTCACTCTCAATCTTTCTCTCTTTTTTCTTCTGAATATTTGCGTTCACTGTTTCTGCGATTGGTTTGGCGTTGCTTTCTTTCTGAAACTGATGTTCCTGTTGGCCTTTTTTTCTTCTTCTTTTCCTAATTTTGTGTGTCACTTTTCTTCTTTCGCTTTCATTGTCTTAATTTGTCAGTTGTTCCATGTCTCCTTGTTTGGTTGACTGTTGATTGGCCGTGATGATGATAATTAATACAATTCAAACAAGAATGAACCGAGAAAAAAAAACCATTCTCTCGCTCGTCTTATATTTTGTTCTCGTGGTGTCGTTGGCTGCGACTATAATTATTTAGCCGTACACACGTTTGTACACACAATGACACGCGCTTTCAATATAATTCACGCACATGACACAATCATCATCTTTACTCAATGCACACGCATTGAATCACAAAACTGTGCGATTCGTACACACAAAACACTAAACGACCGACAGAGAAAAATTCACTCTCTGCTGCGGATCACAACACACAAGAAAGGCGAAGCGCGCACAGCAGAGAAGAGAGTGAAATGAAGAAGAAAAACAAACGGCAGAACCGAACTGAATTCACTTTCTTCGTCGTTGGCTTTTTCCCTGCGTTTCGAATATATATATATATTTTGCTTGGTTTTTTTCTACTCTCTCTACTGCTGCTGCTGTTCCTTTCTTTCGATTCAACTTCTCCTTTGCGGTAGCTTACACTTTTTTTTATTCACTTTATTTGTTTGGTTGGTCGAAAGGCTCTTTCCTCGATCAATTATTTAGATTGTTAGCGGTATGCTCCCTCTCTCTCTCTCTGGCTCACCGCCTAATTGCCCAATTTGTCTGACTGGCTGAGACAAAATTGTGGCTCAGCGCTTATGTTTATCTTACTTTTTGTTTCGGTTGCTAACGTCTTCGTTCGCTTCGAAAATGCTGTGTCGTTGCGCCTGCTGCCTTTTGTTATTCAATAACTTTATCGGCCGACCATTATCGAAACTGAGAGTGTGAAAAAAAAAATAAGGATTTTATAATATTGCGATATTTTTCCCGTCCACTTTGCGTGAAAATGATACAAGAAATCGATTTCGTTTCTCTTTCTCTCGCCGATGTATGCGTGTGTGTGAATTGTTATTGTGTGAAGGAAGGAATAAAAAAAGAAGATCCGTTCATATGAAATCGCGGCACAGCCAAAACTAGCGATAGGAAATTCAAAACCGAAAGGGAACCAGCAACAGAGCTGAAACAGATACACACCACACACCAAAAACGTTGAACGAACGAAAAAGAATAAAAAAAAATGTTTAAATTCCGAATTCTTGTTGCTATTTTTTTTTTTTTTTCGCTGATGTTATGGTTGGTTGGCCATTTCGTTCTCGGTTTTAGTTCACCCAATGCACACACCACCGTGTGTACAAAAAGGAGAAAAAGGTTATACACACTACACGCCGACTTTTAAGAAATGTATGCAGGAACAACACCGAATATCACCGAAAAAAGTGTGACGAGCGAGCGAGCGAGCGAGAGAGAGAAAGAGCGCGCAAGCGAACGAATTTAAAACCACGAAATAAAAAAACACACACAACAGTGTCTATATAAACGGCAACCAATGAAGATGACAACAACAATATGAAGAAGAAGAAGAAAAAAAATATACCGATTATAAAAGATGGCTGATGATGAGTTTAAATTGAGTGAGACATACGAACAGTAACTCCACACTTTAAATACTTATTATAGTTCGCAAAAATTCTATGTGATTTGTATAATATTTTTTCTTCTGTCTCTATCTGATTCGCTTTTTACTGCTGCTCCTCTGAGAGTCGGCTGCTGCTATTGTTGTTGTTGCCAATCGCGCCGCGTTATGTGTATTCCTTTTCGTTTATTTGATTGCTTTCGTTTTTATTTGACTGTTATTTCTGTGTGATTTTTTTTTCTCTGTTGCTGCTTCGTTTTTCGGCAATTGGTTATGCCGCTGTGTGTATACGGTTTGCAAATTCATTGCTTTGTATGATTAGCATGTGTATATTATAGCACAACTGAATTTGCGACGCGGCTGTGCCTGTACCTTACACAACATTAGAACATCGATGACAGAGAATTCGCAATTTACCGAACAAACGATTCAAACACATGCAGCAAATACACGAAAAAACAACGAGAGATAGGTCTTGGTTTTCGAATCCACACGGCTTTTTTTTCCACGATGCGGTCTCTGCATGAATGACGACACAGGCTTCAAGTGCGCGTATGTATGTGTGTATGTGTGAAACCCATACGATAGACCGAGACAACAAATCTCGACCAACCGAACCAACACGCATCGACTGTGTGTATTTTTTTGGCGGCGGCAACGATGATGGCGTTTTACGAATGTGCAAATTATCGCTCACATTCACGCTACCACGTTCTCAATCACACATATAGAGCGCGCACACTCTAACACATTTGCGAATCATTTTGCGACTTTGCCGAATGACGGCGGCATATTGCACGCGCGAAAAACCGTCCACCGTATGGGATGCTCTTCCATTTAGCGTCGTCATACGTGTATGCGTGGCACGGCGCGCGCGTCTGTATGTGTTTTTGCCAATTTTCGCCGCTCTATACTCCGGCTGTGAATGACAAAGAAAACGGTAGTTTTTTTTCGCTGATGCCTGCTATAAACCACGATGAAAGCACACAATACCATTTTAATATTCGAATGAACGATCCCGCTAACAATGACAACGCTATTTTGCCGACTACAACAATCATATTGTTTGACGACATTTATTTGCAGCGATGTGAACTGAATTGCCGTTTTGTTTCGCTTGGATTTATTGGATTTAGGGAGAGACAGAGAGCGAGAGTGAGTGTGAGACAAAGAGTTTGTGGGCATAACTCGGCAAAATGCGCGAGATATAATGATTGGCGATGCAGCGAGCGCGAATGGGACACGTGATTTACATGACAACGGTCGCATGAAATGATGTGATCTACAGGGTATTCCGCAGATGATTGGACCAAGCGCTTTGGTTGTGCTTTTAAAATTAGTGCCAATTGAAAGAAAAAATGAGCTTGAAAGAATCACATTCCCGCAAAGAAAAAATCGTTTGAAGAAAACAATAATTATTGATGTTAAAAATATTTCCATCTTCAAAATGAAGAATGTTGTTAATCGCTTTCAAAATATAAATACTCACTGCCTAAAAATAAATTTCAAGCCGGCACCTACCGAAAAATACGGCTGCGATCCACCCTTTATTCGCCAATACTGGCAAGAGTCGAGAGAACGAAAAAGAAGCGAACAACAACAAGAATGGTTTTGCTAAAATCGTGTTTGCCTTTGTGACAGATGATGATGACAACGACAGCGGCTATGATGATGATGTTGGGAATAATTCGGCGTAAAAATAATCGCATGCAGTGCATTTGGGCTTGGAGTAGATTAAGAAAGAGTATGCGAGTGCGAGTACGAGTGAACGAGTGAGTGAGAAAGACGGAAAGAGAGAGAGAGAGATAGGGATAGAGGTAGAAAGACAAAGCGCCAGCCCCAGGATACATTCATAATATTTCTCACTCATTTGTGCCTGTATCGCAAATATTTATAATAATCCATGGTGTCGATGGGTGAATGTGAGTTGGCTTTTATTGCTGCCTATGTATTCGCATATCCTCATAATATTCTCCAATTTGATGAGTATCTTTTTTTTTCGGAATACATGCTTGACGAAGCAGACAGACATATGCACATTATGTCATACGGTCTTGCCATGTTTATTTAGTCGACCACTTGAAACTGAAGTAATGGTTGTTGTGCGCCTGTTTGCCAAAAAAAAAAGAAAATCATCCATGCACACTGTCACATACATTTGCCGACCACTACATTGCCAAAAATTGTGTGTATGTCGGCACACGCAATCGACCGGATCCGAATCCGGAGCCGACACACAAGCGAGCAAGCGATCAAGCGACGACGCGGCCAATTGAAAGGGAAATAAAACCGGATGATCTAAAGTAAAGAAGGGGAAAAAAAACGAGAACCATCGTTAAATGAATGAAGTCATATGGAAAGTGGATTTTGTGAAAAGTGCGTTTGAAATGGATTTTCTGGCAGTTTCACCTCTGAGAAAGAGAGAGGAAAAATAGAAATAGAAAACACGGTAATTCTGTTTTTCGGAAGACGCCGCATCGCCGATGCTTCCATGATGATACTAAATTTTTCTATAATTATTTGCAGCTGTCATATGAATGTTTGATTTGAGCCATACCGATATCGAGTGTGTGCAGTTGGCCGAGATGATGCTAATACATAATAAAATTCATGTGCCGAAAATAAAAATGGTTTCCGCCGTTGTTGCTGCTGCTCTTTTTTCTCGTTCGACCATTTCAACAAATCAAAAGAGCAACAACAGCAATGATGCTTCTTCGAGTAACTGCTCATAAATAATAACAACAATTTTTCTCTTTATTTCGTGTTTCACTTTATTCATTTTGTTTCTCATGGACTGACAGAGATTATATTCATCGTGTCTTTTGCTTATAAAATGATTGACTTGGGTTTCACCATTCGCTTCTTAATCCTCTTGTAGGGAAAATTACATACAAAGACAGAAAATTAAAAAAAAAAAAAAAAAACATAAACCCAAAGAGAAATAGATAGGAATTCGAACAAATTCAATTCGCCTTACAAAAAATATGCAAAATAAATGTGTCTCCAAATATTTGACGGTTTGTTTGTTGGTTTTTTCTGTGTTTCATCTTCATAACAATTACAAAAAAGCATTGGATATTATCTGAGTTTGATTAATATTTTCATCTTCTGTTAAATACGAATGTTGTGTTTGTTACGCATGCGCGTCGCACTTCAAACGACCTCCAATTTACCGGAACAACATGAACAGTGATCGACACTATTAGGCACAACTGCGTAATCTTGTCGCAAATTTTTATCCTTAATATCAGTGAGGAGGTTAATAATTTTAGTAGCCGTTTCTCGGGTATTTGTATCATGATGCGACTGTTGGATGTGACTGTGTAGATCCAATTTCGCTGGATGGTCGTGGTCGTGGTTATTATGTTGACAATTATTTACAGTCGTGCTTATACTGTGTTGACTTTCATTGGTTGCTGGTTCTTCGGTTAAACCGTTAACCGGTTCCTCGGTCGAACTGTTTACCGGTGCCATCGCATCGGCAGCATCTTCAGGAACTTTTTCCGAATTATTATTCGTCGTATTTAATTGTGCCATGATCTCTTTGGCATTATTAAATCCTTTTTGCACCAACAGCAGTTCGACCAATTCATTCAATTGACGCAATTTATCCTTCATATCTTCACGATCGGCCGCTATACGTGACAATTGAATATCCTTTTCAATTTCACGTTGCTTCAATAATCGCCGTTGCGTTTGATACAGTGCAATGTATTCACCGATGGTTTCGGTTTCACTTTGCAATTGCGTCACCAAGTGCTCGAGACGATGCTTCTCCTCCGTTAAATCGGCAATTTCATTCATTGTTCGCTTGAAACGATCTTGAAGTTTGTCCATTGCCTCGTTGGTGGCAATGTTTATGGTCGATGTTACCGACACCACATCGGAATTGTCCAAGGCCTCTACGGATTTACTCTCATCATCGTGGTCATGGCTACAGTGTCCACCATGCTCGCTATGATTGTGGCTATGGTCATGCGAGTGTGAATGACCATGCGAATACGAATGATCATGTGAATGTTCGTGCCCGTGGTGATCGTTTTCATGCCCATGCTCATGTTCATGCTCATTTAAATGCTCAGATTCAGCCGCTGCAACACCTTCTCCCAAATTGCTTGGAACGTCATCGCCTTCAGTCGCCACCGATGGTGCCCCTTGCAATTTGGCACGAAGTTTCTTGATCTCCTTATTTGCTGCGTGCAACCGTTTTTGCAATTCCGTAAATTGATTAACCCCATCATTACTGTTGCTATCCAATCTCTTGGTGAGCTCCTGGATTTTCGCATCGAATTGCGCATTTTCATGGGTCAACCGAATCATTTCCTCATCCTTGAAATGCAATTTCTCTTTGATTGACTTCAATTCATTCTCCAAATCGGCAAATCGATTTCGAACATCGCGATTTAAATACACTTCACTCTGCAACTGGCTCGTCAATTCCAATTTATCGTTGCTCTGAAAAAATGACCGAATTTTAATGATTTTTCATTTTCAAATTACTTATGGTCAATGCATTTGTTTGGAAATTGAAGCAATTCATTCAAATTAATTTCTTTTACTTCAATTTTCATTCAAATTAAACGAAATTATTTTAACACATTTTAAGTGTAAAAAAAAAAATTCATATTAATGATGAATGAAAAATAATGCAATGATGAACAATTTGTATCAATGAAAATTGAACCAAATTAAAGGCAGACATTTCATTAAAATTAAATCCGAAAATTAAATGGTAAAATTGAACACAACAAAAATTAATCCATCAATTAAATCGAAAAGTGGGCAATTCAAAAATGAAAATTGGTAGAATGAAAATTAAAAAAAAAGAGTGAGAATTTAATAAAACCGGGAATTGTCAAAGGAAAAATTCACACCAAGTAAATTGTGTATGATTTTCATTAAAACCAACACAAAAAAACACAAACATATGCATTTAAATTGAAGTGAAAAAAAAATTAACTAATTAATTGTACTGGATGACAAAACGTGACTAACCACTTGTACGTAAGCTTGTTGCATTTCCTCCAATTGTTTTCTCAATTCTTGATTTTGGGCCATTGCTCGTGAGGCGGCCACTTTATCGCTTTCAATCGTAGCCAATATGTTTGATGTGTCGGGTCGTTCGGTGCGTAATCGTTCCAATTCCGATTCGATTTCCGAGAGTTTTGCATCTTTTTCCAGTAAATGTTGTTGTAATGTCAACTTTTGTGTGTTATGATCCTCCAAAAGTGCCTATAAAATAGAGTAAGAAAAATTATCAAAATTCCCACGAAATTCTAACGAAAACTTCAAAATTCCAATCACTCACATTCAGATCGGTTTTCTCCTTTTCAATAGCACTCAATTTCTCTCGCAGTGTACTCAATTCTTCTTTCACCTGGGGTGTGGTGTCATTTTGGGTGTTTGCATCATCCACTTTAGGTTTTTCATCGTCATCACGTAAGGCGGCCAATCGTCGTTGCGTGCTAAGTTGTTTTTGTATTTGTTTTTCCAGCTCTTGTACATGGTTGACCAGCGATTCCTCACGCTTGGTGAGTTTTTCATTGGCTTTGGTGAGCTCTTGAATGCGTTGCGTCATTGTTGTCGTTTCGTTGGTCAAATGTTGTACATACGTTTGATACTGTTGTTGGGTGCGATCACGGTCATTCGTCAATTCCGAAATCATATTTTGTAATTCAATCAATTGCCGTTCCGAATCCAAAATCTGTTGATCGTTTTGGTTAGGATGTGTGTTCAATGTTTCATTTGACTGTGTCAAATCACCGCCGGTCAATTGTTCCAAACGTACGCGTGCCATTTCCAGTTCGCTATTCTTGGCCGTAATGACATTTTTCAACTCATCAATTTCCTTTGTTTTCAGTGCGAGTTGATGTTGAATTTCGGTATTTTCATCGCAAGCCTCTAGATGCAAACGTTTCAAGCGTTTGCTGTCCTCTTGCAGAGTTTCGAGTTCGGTGCACAGTACCTGTTGTGATCCATCATATTTCTGATGTGATTGGGCCAATGTGTTTAAATCTTTTTCCAATTCGGACACACGATGCCGTGATGCGTTCAAACGGCCTTGTAATTCAACACATTTTGACTCGTATTCGGTGAGCCGCTGATCTTTATGCTGCAGTTTAGCGGTCAAATCGGATTTTTCGCCCACTAAAATGTTCACAGTTTGAATGTAAGCATTGACTTGCTGCTGCAGCTCTTGAACCGTTTGGCCATTTTGTCGGAATTGTTCGAGCTCTCGGTTCAATTCTTCGATTGTGGAATGTTGTTGGCTTACTTTTACACTTAGCTCATGGTTGCGCACCTTTTCTACCTGCAACAAGTTTGCGAGCTCTTGATTACGCTGTTCGAATTGTGCAAAATCAGCAGCCGCGACACTTGCTTGACTCGCTTGTGTCACTTGACTCTCCTGATTCGGTTGCACAACGTCGTTAAATGCATTTGACAATGGTGGGTAGTATGGTTGTTGTTGCGGTGGTTGGCCAAAAGTCGATGTTTGGCTAAAACTCGTGAACTGTGGAAACGCCTCAGTATGCGACGTTGACTGTGTCAAACTTGCTACGGTATTCGTCGGTGCACCAAACAAATGCTGTAAATTCTGCGACGTTTGTGTTGGTTGTGGAAAATTTGCGATATTATTGACCGGTGCTGTAGCCATATTCAACGCGATTTCCGACTGTGAACCGAGCAAATTTTCAGCCGTTGAATGTTGATCGAATATTTTGGTTGAGCCAATGTTTGGTGCCGGATCAATGGCACCAAAGTGCATATTGATTTGTTGCAGTTGCTGTTGTTGTGGTGGTGGCGTTGGCGATGGCCGAATTTGAGCCTGAATCTGGGCTATCGCATCGTTCTGTATGCTCTCAATGCATGCATTTCCGTTTGTATTTACACTTGATTCGGTTCCGCATGAAGTAACCGTGCTATTTGACGTCGTTTCTACTTTTGCCTTCGATTGGAATTGCTTGAGCTAAAATACGCGAACGAACAAAAAAAAAGCAACAACAGAGAGAGAGAGAGAAAAAAAAAGTCATTGAATTATTACATTAGAAAAAAAAAAATTGTACGGTATTGACGTGTCACAGACACAGCGACGTAGCACAACATCAGAACGCTGTTTTGGCGTTTGTTTGCATTGTATTTGGAACACGACAATTTTCTTCGTCTCTCTTCTATTCAGAGAAATTTTTTTTTGTTCTTCAAAACGAAAATCATGTCACCACGAAACCAAAACGAGGACTACCTACCTTTTTTCGAGCTGCAGCAATTTTTTCCGCCTTTGAATTATCGGACATTATTGTATATTGCACACGGTTGATTCGGTATAATGAACGAAACTTCAAACTACCCGAATTTTATCGTAAAACTGCTACCATTCAATGCAGGAAGTCTGCATACGACACAGACACACTGATAAATTATGGATTAAAAACACGACACTTTTTTTCGGCCAAAATCGAACGGTAGAAAAATGAATAACAGAAAGACAAAAAAAAAGAAAAATCAAAGAAAGAGACGGAAAAAATCCTCCCGTATGTATTTCAGAATGGGCCAGATAGTCAGTGCTTGTGATCCGTGAAAGCAAAAAATTATGAAAACAATCACATTGAAAAAATCAACAGTCACCAAAATATGTCCATGTCGTTATTAATTACAACAAAAAACACACACATCACAATGTTTTGTTGCATATCGATAAATGAACTTCTTTCTCTTTTTGCTTTCGTTTAAGCCGTGTCACTATTCTGTCATACCGTAGTTCACGGCCAGTGGCACAGATAGCGCTCGGGTGCATACATCATCATCACATGACATTTGCTTAGAATGGCGCGCTATTCAAATCTATGGCCCAAATTATGGATGTGTATTTTTCGATGAGTTTTTTTTTCTCGTCATTTTGGATATTTTATTTATTGGAGAGTAGAAACAGAATTTTGTGGTGATACACTACACAAAACTCCGTTTTAAATATCAAACAACGATTTCGGCTTCAACATTTGCTTTTTTTTTATTGGATGAGTCGTAAGCTTTCTCAAAACTTTTCGTGTTTCTTCTCCTCTATCATTCCATGTTAATATTTTTTTGATTTGTTTGGTTTTTTTTCTTCAAATTCCAATTTTGATTGCACCATGCCAATCAGTTATTGATATCGAATCGAGGCTGATTTTGTTTGGTGATGGCATAAAAATGGAATATTTATTCTTTTTTTTCTTCTTCTTCTTCTTTTTCTGATTTAAATAAAATATGCAAGTTGTTGACGTTGGTCGCGTGCACAGAAACTGAATCATGAAAACGCAAAATATCAGGCGATGTGAACGAGGGTAACATAACGAACAAATTGCGATCTAGCGATGGAATTCAAAGGCTTAAATCGGATTTCAACCATCAAACCCACTGCTGCTCATAAAGGAATCGGTTAGTATCATCACCTTTTTCTGTCTTGCACATTTTTCTACACATAATTAGTTTTGAGTTCGAGCTTTATCGTTGCGATTTTAGATTTTTCAAAAAAAAAAAAATTCACGCGAAAGAATTTTACTTTATTGCATATTTTCCGAAGGATTTGAAAAACACACACAAAATGAACATCATTGATTCATTATTATTTGTGAAGAAAAATAGATATTATCGTCAAAAATAAATAAAAAAAAACCGTTAAAAATGCCATCTCATTTGATTTTCAGCCACAAAAAAAATGCTTCAAACGAAGAATGAGCCGTCACAGATATTTTGACATAGCTCATCATCACGCTGGAATGGATGTGAAGTGAAAAAGGCGGCAAAATGAGTGATTTGTTTGTGATTAGTCGGGCGGATATTTTTGCCATTTATCCGAAAATCCTCGCCAATATACTACATGCGGAGGAATTAAAACGTGCCAACGAAGGAGTTTTATCGCGAGATTTCATACCATTGCCAACAGACAGCGATTATCAAGAGCGTGTATACTATCGCCTGCTCACTGTGCAAAAGGGTATCAACGATTTAATCGACAGTGGCATGTAAGTATTTATATCTTATCGGCGCTTAGTTTTCATATCTTACCTTCAGCTAATACCACTGAATTGAAAAAAAAATGAAAAAAAAATTTATATATGAAACGAAAAAGTGGATAAATATGAATGAAAATTTTCCTTCAAAGAAAATATAAGTCAATTTGTGGTGTGAAGAAGATATGCGCTTTGATTTAATGACAAAACTTTGTATATAGACCATTGGAGGAGGTGGTTGCAAAGAAAATCAAGCAACAATGGGACCCGGACGCACAATTGAACATTTCGCCATTATCAACACCAGCGTCGGGCTTTTCATCGAAGCGAAAAAAGTGCATCGTCGACGATCCAATGGATTTTGTGGATGCTCATATGCTGTCCGCTTGGAATCTCAATGACTTGACCAGTGCGGGGAAATTGCTGCGTAAACCTCCGCTCACCTGTCATTTCGATGATGAACATGAAATGCGACGAGTTTATTCAATGATCTACGATGTTTATCGGTGTAAGTGCTTCAAAAGTTTTATCGAACAACTTCAGTGCGTCTCGTTACGCCACGTTTCCACTTGCAATCAATCGAATTGTGCATGCGATTTCAATGGATTTTCTGAATATATCGCGGTTTTAGTGTTTTTTGTCGTCTTGTTCGCTTTTTTCCATTTCCTTCCTCAATTCATCATATCTTTCGTCGAATTTCGTTTTTCTTTCTCGTTCTAATTTTTTTTTTTTACATTTTTCACCTTGTGCATTTTCTGTCTTCCCATTTGTTGTTTACATTTCAAAAACCGTTTTTCCGTTTTTCTTCCGTTTCTTTTCGTCTATTTATCCTTTATTTCGTTTGTTTTTAGAATCAATTTGAGCCTCCCGCCATAAAAGTTATGTTGTGGCTTGGATGTAAGTAGAGCTGATATAGTAATTTCGTCTGATGTTGTTTCAAGTCAATTTGTTATACCGTTTCAAATCGATTCAAGCCGTTTTGTCACGAAGCGATTGATTTTATTGCAAAGTGACACGAAACGAATGAAGATATATTAGCGTCGGTCGTTTTGACCTTAAAAAAAACTGCGCTTTGGCATTCGGGAAAGCGTCGTTCGCTCCGTATTTTCCCAACTAAACAACCACCCACTCGATATCGGTGCAATCGGCCCATTCCAATATCATTCAATATCAACACGGATTGGTTGAATGGTTTTTATAATTGAAAAGTCAATGTGGATCAAACGAAGCGAGGGAAAAAAAACGCGTGCACAATTCGATTCCATTGACAGGGCAGCAGTTGAATAGCACATTTATTAATATATGCACTATGTCATTTAAAATCAAAATCGTTTCGTTATTTCAATATTTTATCGTTGATTGAATCGTTGATTAACTTTTGTTGCTTTCATTTTTATTGAACAGATAAGCATATCCTGAATCAGGCCTTGCATGATGTACATTTTTTCGAACATTTTCCACAGGTTGGTTTCGAGCTACTGTTTCAACAAATGAACGTACACAAATAATGCATGCACGCAACGCTTATGAAAAAGTAAAGGGAAAATAGGAAGGCTCATTTAAAATCACGCTCAACAAAACGACGGCACATTTTATAATTTCATGTCAAACGAGGTGTCGCGGCTATTTTTTTTTCGTTTATCAGTTTTTCGCATCGAATAAATGAATGTAGTTAACTTTGGAACCGGAAAACAAAACGCTTTTTTATTACCAGAATGTGAACAAGGGAATTGTCAGATGAAAAAAGAATTGCAAAGAAAATTAATTTTCAAAATACATTGCAAACGTGTGAACTTTGCATATTTCCTCAGTTAAAAGCCTATTACTTTGCCGCGGTTTTGAAGAAGGTGCGTTTTTCATGCTTTTTGTTCCGTTTGTTGTTCTATTTGGTTGTAAAGTTTATTATCACCGTTGTTGTAGCTGCAGTTGGTGGTACTTTAAGTAAAATTCAATTCAATATTATACACATTCAATTCAAGTATTCGAGTAAATAGTTTTCCACCGGTTTCTTTCAACCAATTTTTGCTGTTGCACTGTCACTTTTATTTCTGAATAGAAAAAAACGTATGAATATTTAAGTTATTTTCTATTTCCTTGGTGATTTCAGCTTCGAGATGATCAAAATCGCGTTTGGCTACTACTGTTCGATTTGCATATGCGCCATTTTCTTAGACGAGACCCAAAAGAACGGGCGAGAGAAAAAGAACTGTATCATGAGTCAGATTTGCAAGGTAACTTTTACACGTTATTTTATACCCGCCAAAGCCATTGACCGAAGTTTCTTCCAACTAAACTCTAACGTCAATGCTTTTCCTATCCCGGTAGCTATCTTCGACAACATTTGGAATAATCGCATTCATTTGGCAGCATCAATATCACGACTTCGAATCAAAAATAGTGCACTTAACTTGATGGAATTGTTGCCACCACATTTGCAGGATGACAAAGTTGCGATTGCCACGGCAAATCCTATTGTTACTGGTTGGGTCAATCCATTTAAGTTGAAGTATGTAACATTTTGATTCAGCGACGAACTCAAGCTATTTCATTATTATTTATCGAAGAAACTTCCGTTGAAGATATTTTTAAACACCTTATATTGACTCGAAATGCTAGTTTGAAAAAGTATTTTGCTAAAGCGGTACCAAAAGAAATCTCATTTTCTATTACAGATCGAAGGCGGAAGCGATCGAGTCATTCCGGAATAATGGATTTATTGAGTCTGAAGAAACGGAAGATGGTGAAGTGGCCCTGAAACAGTGCCACTTTAAGTTTGATAAATTGTGTCCATTATTTGTGTCGTGCATCCCAATGTCGCGCGGACAATTTGCCAAAAGTGTTCTGATGAAAGAGCATCAATTTATTATGCAGGTGCGGGAATTTCATATATTTGGTTTCGATTAATTTCCAAAGATATTTTTTCGATTTAAAAAAAAAATGTTTTATGTATCGTAATTTGTTCATGCAGGATCGTGCCTTTACGTTGGGTCCGGTGATTTTTTCTCGTCTGCTCGAGTATTTCGAAGTAGAAGGTGATGTTATTCAAACACATTTATCATCACCTCGATCGATTGCCTACATGGCAGCCTTATTTCAAGCCAATCATCGTGTGAATGATATCATCATATTTGGGGCTGGCCAACGGCTTAAAGAGTACAATGATTACATGCGTAGGCTCGGTATTAATAACATTCGAATAAGATCGGAGCATTTCAACCAAATGTCAATCCAATCGGTGGTATTGGAGAAAGTTGTTGGTGTGTTTATAACACCGCCGAATTCATATAGTGCCATTAATGATCCAATTGATTTGATCTGTAAGTGTGATTGGTTTTCGGTGGAAATATTTTTTGATACTATCCCTATAGATCCATTTAAATAATGGATTAGCAAAATGCAATACACATAAATTGATATATTTTCACTAGGTAGTCGGGGTGGTGATCTATCAATGCTTGAAGTGTTAACAGAGTCCGAGATGAGTGAAAGTGGAAAAGAGCGCGTGGTCAAAATACTTGAAGAGCAACGTGAATCACTGCGTCTGGCCATGTCAAGACCGCAAGTTCAATTCATTTTGTACGGAACACATTCGATGGTTGAAACGGAAAATAAAGTCATGGTTAATATGGCCATTGAGAGTGTTAATCGGGCAGCTCATGCTCGACATGTGAAAATTTACAAAGAGAAAAAACGACTCGAAGCTCTTGCTGAACAAGATGGACTGAATGCCGAACAATTGGAGAAATTGCAGGGTGTTTCGTCGAGCAAGAAGAAAGCCAAACCAAAAGAAGGGGAAACGAAAAATTTACATGAATCGGAATCGTCGTCGGATGAAAGCGAAAGCGGCAGTGAAATTCTTGATGTTTCCAATTGGAACAATCCAATTGTTGACGATGAATACAGCCATGTTAAGGTATACTTTGACCATATAGAAATTGTGTGAATTAATCCTTTTGTGAGATTCTTCAGCATTTTTTTTATCCTTTTTGAGAAATTGAGAAATTAATCGTTCATTTCATATTGCCCGCATTCGTCAATAACACTAGCTTCTATTATTATCCAACATTCACGTCTTTTTCCTCACAAAATCAACGAATTTTCAAAGGTGCCAAAAACGGACATTTTCGAAATGATTGACATCCCCGACATGTGCTTGTATCAAAACAAGTGCATTGAATCGAAATCGGCTGGTTGCTTTTTGTCGCTAATCAAGCGAAAGAAAATAACACGACTAGATGAAAAGCATTTGATTTTAATGGCAGAAAAACGTGGACTGTTCGGCGATACCAATCCGAAAAAGGAACGGGCACGTATCCAAAATAGAAACGTTAAGAAGGAAGAACGAGTCGATATTCAACCGGTGAAAATCAAGAGAAAGCGAAGCGAAGAAATTGCATTGTTGGTGAGAGCTATATTTTCATTCAATCTATCTACTTTTTTGGGTTTCGATTATAATATTATAACTATTAATTCATTTAAATCGGCATTTTATTGGATGCAAAAAAAAAATATTTGAAAAAAGTGCATGCACAAGTTGCTCTCATTATATTGCATTATGAATCATAGCAAATCATAGTACAAGCTATAAGGTTAATATACTAAAATGTGGCAGAAATCACAGTGTATACATTGTGACGATCAAATATGATTGCACAAATTAATACAGAAGAATGCTTGTCTTATTACAAAATCATTCGAAAATCTTCAATAAAATCTCCATTAATGGTTAATTAACTTCTACATTCCCTTGCATTTAAACAGATTGATCGTTTGTCACAACATACACACTCGTCATTAATTCGTTGTGATAAATCTCGAAAGTCATCGCCTGACCATAAGCTAATACTGTTCTTTCCGCGGCTGTGTGAGTATAGCTATCAACATCACAAAAGACAAGAGGAATGGGTCAATAGAGAGGTAATTATTTTCATTAACATAACATTGGTAGATCAATTTGAAAAAATCAATACTGTGTCTGAATCTATTTAAGTGGATTGAATCATCGTACATGGCATCGATGCGATTCAAGGCGTTGCGAGCGAAAAAATGGTGGAAGGAAACGATGACATTTTTGAATTCGATTCGTGAAACGCACAAATTTCGAACGTCAAACATATTCGATGAAATCGAAAAGAAAAACATTGAACCGCTGCACCTGACACGAATCTCATCACCAGAAACGACAAGAGCATCGGCCAGGAGATATCATCGTCGTGCATATCCACTGTCGACTGGGTGCATTGACTTTGAACAAGATGAAAATCGAATTACACCACCAATTTATGACGATCACTTCGTGGAGCTACAGCGGAAATATCGACGAAAGAACAAGAAAAGGGCTAAACATTTATTTCAATCTCTCACTGAATTGCATCGCATCGAATAAACGAGCATTAGTTCTGAAGGAAATCATTGTTCAAGAAATTGAAAAAAAAAACTCATCGATAGTGAGATTGAATTTGAAAAAAATTCTAAAAAAAAGAAAATATTCTGGTTTTCGAAGTGATGTTGATGATTTTAATTTAGTTTTTTTCCGTTTTCAGTCATAGTTTCCCTGGCCAAAAGTTATCACTCCATCACTTTCGATCGCTATCAGCTGTTTCAAGCTGGTATATTTATCAAATAAATAGAAAAAAAAAATGTTCATTAACTCTTATCGTTGTTTGATTCTGTTGTTTTGATAAAGGGTTGTCTCCAAGCTGAAATTATAGTAAGCAGTTGGTCATAAATCAAGTCCATTGACGTATTCTTTTGTAAGAAATTACTTTTATTTTATTGATTTTTTTACAAGCTCTTGAGCTGGGTGTATTGATAAATGTATGGCATTTGCTCTTTAACGATAAATAAAAAATAAAAACGAAGTTCACGATCAAGCGATTGATTGCCATTGATAACCATTATTTCGATTGCTAATTTCGTTTTCGTTTTTACGAACAAAAAACCCCACTTGATGCACATTGGCAATTTAATCGCGAACTTTCTTATTAATTTTGTCGTACACTTCTGGAAATGCTTCTTCGCATTTCAATTCTCTACGCATGCGATCGTACAAGCGATGATCGAACATTTGACGGAATTCGTCTTTGGTACGGAAGCAATCGGCGTACAACATTTGGAATCCATTCGATTTGACGACAATATCCTCGAGCTGACGTGTTGTGCGTTCGGCATGGAATTGGCCACGTTTCAATTTCACAGTGCCATAAACACCAATATCGACGTACATATCAACCTCGAAACCGGCGGCCGGATGAACCATACCTGGATTATTCCACAAACGGAACGGGCACAACCACAATGGATACACATTCACCAATTTATTGAATTCACGAATGCAATCGGCCATTTTGGACGTTGGCACCAACAAATCTTGAATGACTTGCGTTTCTTCGTATAGTTTTTTCACCGTTTCAGGTTGCGTCAATTTCAGGAACGACACCTTTACGGGCATCAACCAACCGAACAAATAACGGAAAATTGGATGGTTGCCGAATGGAACAATATCCTATTGAGATAGAGAAAGTTGGCTTAGAAAATTTGTTTCTTATTTTTGAGGGAATTTGAACTTCTTTCTCTGCAAAACGAACGAACGTTTTTGCAAACTACTTACTTGGAGCTCCCAGAACAAAGCACGCGAATGACGATGGTAGTAGTCTCTCAATGGAAGATATTCGGTAATAGTTTGACCCTTTGGCACCGTTTTTAGGATGTTTTCAACATGCTTGAAGAACCATGGCTTATACCATTTACCGACATCGTTGATCTATTCAATGGAATTTTGGGAGGAAGCTCATTAAAAAAAACTCGCAATTTGTTCACAGTTTGTTCCAATCTCAAAACCAAATTGGCTTTACCTTTCTGTGATCGACTTCGTGATCGGGCACCATGACCGCGGTCATAATAACAGCTTCATCCAAAGAATATTGCAATCCTTCAACAAAATGATTGTTAGCATCATGACTAACATCATTGAAACGCTTTGCAATGTTTTCCAATCCAAATACTGGTTCATATTCCATGCGGATGTATCTTTACAGCACCATGAGCAGAGGAAAAATGAGAAGCATTTGAAATAATTGAATGAAAATAAATCATCAAGCATCAAAAATGTTCAATGATTCGTCGATGTTTTTGTTTAAACAAATAAACAAAAAAAAAAGAAATCAAATCACGAAAAATTCGAAGAGAATTTCACGCTTACTTTGTGGCTGGTAGAATTTTTATTTCAACAGCGGTCAAGAAGCCCAAAGTACCGTAGCTCCATGGCACGGCATAGAATAAATCGGGATTTTCATCTTTCGAGCATTTCACCACGCTGCCATCGGCCAAAACGAGTTCGTACGAAAGGCAAATATGTTGAAACAATCCATAAATGTGTGAGCTAGATTCAACACCGGTGCCCATAACCAGACCACCTACGGTTAAATCATCAAGTTCTGGTACAATGGCAATGGTCCAGCCAAGTTTTGCCAACGTTTCCGACACTTGATCCATTGTTGCCAACGGTTCAACACGAACCGTTCGCTTTTCCCGATCGACTTCCAAAATGTCAATCAAATTGCATTCGACTTGGTGCATGGTAGACTTGTAAAGTGGTTTACGGAAGCTCATCGTTTGGTAGCCCGGCCGAGCGGTGCACATTTTTTTCGATTTATCGCTTTTATTCCATTCTTGCACCTAAATACACAATCAAATTACTCTCACTGTTTGGACACTTTTTAATCAGCAGAGGATCGGTTTGAGATCTTAGCAAATCTGCTGGCTGCAAAATCAAACGGGAAATTACCTGTTTCTGAATTTTACGGACTTTGTCATCGTGAGCGCGTGGTGCACTGTTCAAGTGGAAGATGATTTTGTTGCGTGTGTAAAACCACAAATTGTACAAAAATGACAGAGGCAACAACAAGAAGCACACAATGACCCATCGGTAGTCAATCAATAGGATCTCCATAAATGTTTCACCCTTAAAATCAATCACTTCGTTTGGATCCATTTTGCAATGACTTAATTGGTTTTTACCACAGTAGAAGGAAAAACCAAAATTTCATCGAAATTTTCCGTGCTCTGGTCTCGTTCACACCACAAATGCGACTGAATTGTTTGATTGACCTTGCCGTTTAAAATGTTAAATGAAGCTCGCAATGTAAGAGGATGGCAACAATGAACGCCGCACAAGAGCAACGAGTACTAATCATAATTCAGATATGATATAGACACTGCCGCGTACGGCTCTCTCTCTCTCTCTCTCTCTTTCTTTCTTTCTTTCACTCTGTGCCTTTGTTTTTTGCGTGAGCAAAAACAATTTGATGTGGCGCCGGTTTGATGACGAAATCCGAGCGATTTTTCTTCTTCTTCTGAATAGCAAAATGTTGGTTGTGTGTTAGTATGTGTTTGGTGTTTGTACCTACATTCATGCGGACTGGCATTAAGTGTACTTGCTGTGTGTGCGCAGCGCATAACGAATTTCGGATTAACAACAATCAGCATGTTATGGCTTCGAATCGTGTGAAACAACAAAACTCAAGAGAACGACGTCCGCCGAGAGATCCATATGCCTACTTGAGTAGAGAACAAAAAGAAATACAAACACAACCCAATCGAACAAATTAAAATGCCCACATTTCAAAACTAATATATACTGCAAATGAAGCAATACCATATGCAAAACGTGCTCATAATTCCAAAAATACAAAACATTTCGTCGAATCGAATGCTCTGCACACGGATTGATTTTGATTCAAACATCACATCTGAAATCATTTGAATGAAATTGAATACATTACTACGGGCGAGAGTTTAGAATAAAATTGTATGCTTCGGACATTCACTCTACTTTGAACTGCGCTTATTTCGCATGTCATAAATACTTAAACGCTTATCATCCCATCGAATCGGTTATAAATTTTTTTGCAAGCACTTTTCTATTGTCAGTGCTATTTTTATGGTTCTGGATGAAATTAACGCAGTATTGATATTGTTTAACCGGCTTTTGACAAAACACACCAAATCATCATAAACGATTGAATACTTACTGAAATGAATAATACATAAACCGAATGTAAAATGATGATGACTAGGGTTTTTAATTGCTTAGTTCTAAATTTTTTTAAAGCTACGAAATCGATATATTATAAATTGTAATCGATAACGGTGCATGTGGACATTCGCTATAGTATGCAATATATTGGATCTGTCGATGTGATTCAAAGGCGAAAATAAATATGATTAAAATGTGATTTTCTCATCATCCTTATGTTTTCACATCAATACAATATCTCATTGCATAAAGCCTCAACCAATCTTTACGTGGAAGACGTAAACTTTTATCTCTACGTTCTCTTATTTTTTCAATACAATTACATGTGATGGTGGTCATAGCAAAAATAAAAAAATTGAATTGATCCATGGAAGAATTTCCCCTCGTCCACTATTCGCGTCATTTCGAATAATTTCATTATGTTAATAAAAACTATTATCTTGCAAACAATGTTTACATAAGTTGAAATAGAAATGATATGATCTCATTAGACGATTTAGCGAATCTCGGCTCAAAATGCTCCATGGCATTGAAATTGAACTATTTCACAGAAGGTGAATTGAAATTGCAATTGTCATGATTGTTGATGTAGTGCATAGTGTGCAATGTGTGCTGCACATAAGGTGATAGTGACCTACATCCGATTCATTGGTTGTAAATGCATCTTCTATCAAATAGAATAATATGCATGGGATTATTTAAATTATACACACAAAAAGCATTTTGCATGCTTATGGCTGCTTTTCGAATGTTCTGAATTGTTTTTTTTTTGCTACTTCGAAATAGACTAACGGTAAGAATAACGTTTTTTTTTCTTAGATGTTGAAATGATTATTCTGTTCCTTCTATTCTCTTTAAATCGCGACTTTTTATTTTAGAAAAAATGCATAGTAATTTTTCGACTGCTACGTTTGAGGAGTTCGTTGAAAAAAGTACCTTTTTCACACGAAAATATCAAGAAACCAGAACTTAACCCTCTAATGCATACAACCGCCTCTAGACGGGCAACATTTGAACGCCTGTAGAATATTTTTTTAATTATCTATGGCCAAAAATCAACCAAGTACCAGTACTGGGAGTACTGGGAAAAATTAATGCATTAGAGGGTTAAGATCTAATATCAAGTGAATTGCATTGCTCTTTCCTTCAAATGCAATCTGCAAACAGATCGATTTAATTTAATCTGCATCATGAATATCACAGCACCAGATGATATATTCAATTAACAAGGTTATCTAGTTAATAGGCTGATATTAATAGATAAATAATGGTTGATAAACATATGAAGTTGTTTTGGTCCAATACTGGCTCCTTGGGTGATCATAAGAATTTAAATGTTAGGTGCACGATTGCAGTCATCAATCTATCAGTTCGCGTTTAGTCTTTGTTGTGATTGCATCTAAAAGACTTGGATGCAGTTTTATTATATTTCTGATTTATTACATTTTACCATCGATGTTAGGCGAAAGAAAATCCGTAAAAATCAGGATAGAATGAGAAACGTTGAATATTGCAAAAAAACAAAAAAGTGAACAATTTTCTCAAGATAAGATGAACTATTTCAAAAGAAGACATTTTCAGTCCTGAAAATCGAAGTAGAAAAACTTTTTTCGGAAGAGAAAATATTTTTTATTCAAAAAAAAAAAATGTCCACCATACGAATAGCGTGTATTCTAATGGTAATAACCGGAACATTAGCATGGATTCCCTACCGAAACATTGAATTTGTGTTGACTGAAAGTTTTCCAAAACAATTGGAAGTGCGAATAAATCAGTCGTTGCAGGTGACTAAGCATTTTTTCGAGCGAAAAGAAGTGGAAGTGACAGTGATAGGTGAAACGAGAATACTAAAATTTGTGCCATACATCGCTCCAATGGTGGCGACATTGCCAGTTATTCAGGATGCAATTGGAACCGATTACCAATGGAAACGGCGTTTAGAATGGGGCATATCGGACGCAAAACATCGAAGAGAAGCCGAACATGATATGCTTGGAATTGAAGCCTCGATGCGAATGATTACGCGGAACATTGCCAATTTGGATCCGAATAAAAACTTTTCGTCCGAGAGTAAAATGGCCATTGTGCATGAAGTTCATACCGGTCTATGTGACATAGTCACTAAGTTTGCCCAAAGACAATCTATCTTTCGAAAGTATCCTCTGGTTGGAATGCCAATTCTTTTGGCACTTTCATCGTTCGTTTCACTGTTCGTGTACATGGAAAGTGCTTTTGTACCCGATCTTGCGAGAGGATCACTGATATCGTGTAAACTCTATAAAACTCTATTTGAATATCGACCCATTACGGTTGAGGCACGATTGCATCGACTGGAAATCGTCGACTCAATGGGTACACCGATCAATAAACGTCAACCGATCAATCAAGTGTTGTCCAAAAGTTTCAGCGAACATTACAATCAAACAATGGATAACGGATCGATTCGGTGCCGCGGAGGATGTCGACCATTCGAAGGAGAATATGTGTATGTTTGTCTTAGAGATCCGGTTGCGAGAACCGAATACGATTGTCACATGCGCCACGAAATGTACGGATGTCTCTTTGGCTACATGGAATACGTTCGATATCGAGTCGAAAGCGCCTTTGCCGATCCCATAAAACTTGTTGGCAAAACGTGTTCCGATGAAGCACGCAATCAACCAGTTCAATCCACTCCAACAGGTAACCATCTGTTTTTTATTGTCATTTGCGAAAATTTCGCATTATCAACACGGAATTGAAGTTTTCGCTTGGAAATTCCCTTTAATTTGAGAAATAATCAAAAATTGATTTCTTTGATGAAGGATACGGTTGGTGGACAATTATGATTCATGGCGCTGAGGCTCACACAGATCTTTATGGTAATGTATGTGATGATTGGGGTGCGTGTGATGCTTACATCAAGGTATTTATCGATGGCAAAGAGGTTTTTCGCACCGAATGCCGTGTGAACACGCACATGCCCTATTTCGGCGAACAGTATCGATCGTCGAGAATGCACAAAGCAGCACGCATTACCATCGAAATGTGGGACGAAGATTCTGGTTGGATGGGCTCACCTGATGCGTTGATGCTACGATGGGAGACAACTATCGATCAACTGGTTAGCAACGGAATCAAATGGGGCGAACGAGGATACTGGAAAAATAAAATTGTTACCGCATCTTCATGGAAGGACGAATATCCCGAAACATTTCACCCAATGATTTTAACTTAGTTTATATGCTCCATGCAATGTTTTATTAATCACAATGTTCAATAATTTACAATAAAATATCCAACAAAACTTTGTCCTTGTACGTTTCAGTGGAACAGCACATCTATGCGTCCATCAAACGCGTAGATGTAGCATTTCACTTAATTTAGCAATTCGGTAGTTGCCGAAATATCGTATATGAGTTCACTCTATATTTCAGGTGAAATCCTAATATTCGATAAGCCGAAGTATGATTTTGTTTACATAGCGTATGTATGACCTATGTTCACTACGATGTCAAAATTAAAGTAACGGAAATGATAATATAATAAAACGAATTACATAGTAATCCAAATTTTTCCACACTGCAGCAATTTTACTTTCCTCATTGTTTGCTTGGAAAATTTTACCCTTTGAGCAGATGATTACCTTTTATATTTGACCATTTTTAAATCGATCGAAATTTACGATCGTTTCACACCGAAATTGTGGTATTTTTTATAATAATTTATACTTTTATAAGTTGGTAGTTCTATTCCAAAGAATTTTACATAGTTAATTTCATAATTCAAATTCTTAGACAAATAGACAAATTTCAGAAGTCCTATATACGAGTAAACGGCAATATTACAAGTAAATTCAATGCGGTGCCAAAAAGTGGCAGTTCGAATATCATTTGTTTTTTGTACTTACATTGTTGACACGCGAATCTACTTTTCTCTGTTGACTCTGTAACGGTAAGACACACGCAATGAACGCTGGGTTTCTTCTCTGTAAAACGGATTATATACGTAATCCAAACTTTTCGGTACAGCAGCAATTTCCCTTACATTTCGCTTTTTTCATTATTGAAAAAAGAGTAATAACATTTAATTCTTTCAATTTTAAGTTTTATATGTAATGAAATATTGATATTTTCTTAATACTATGAAAATCATTTCATTTTAATTAAAAAAAAGTGACAATATTTAATGATTAAGGTTAGTTGGAATTTGGGAACAAGGAAATTCTCTGTTGCTCAATCATATCGGAATCTATGTTTCTGTCTTCGTTGATTTTGTTTCTCTCTAACGATGAGAGGTGAGACACACGCAATAAATGCTGGGTTTTTTCTTCTCTGTATTAGTTTTAATAGATTTAAAACGAATTCGTTGTAATTCAAACTTCCGTGGCGAATTTACCTATCGCTATAATGCTGCCGTTTGACTCGTGCATAGCACTTGAATATTTCTACGAACAGCTGTTTTTGCAAACAGTGGAATTCATTATTATATTCATTATTCAAGTGAATTCAATCCATACTGAATGTAATTCGAAAATTTCCATTCGAATTTTGTTTTGTGAAATTATTTTCGATTGAAATCGCTGCTCTGTTTTTTGTTTAAAACAAATTTGAAAATGAAACTGTTGATGAGCCTGAGTTTTTTGTTCGTGGTTTTGGCAAGTAAAAAATGACTTTTTTTTCCAAATATAAACATTAACTTTATATTCTTCCCTTTCACAGTCGACGGTCATGATGATAGGTCAGATAGCTTTTGCCAAATAATACAAAATAATAAACTGTCCTAACAATAGTGTTTTATTTCTTTATAGAACTTTCAAAAAGTTCGCTTATTCGTATAGCAAACGTTGAAGTTGATCGAAGCGCTTTTATAGATTCCAAAAAATCATTAAACGAGACTGCTTGGAGGGAAAGGTATGTTGCAATACAATGCGCTGAACGAAATATAATCGATTTTGTTCATTTTCAGATGCACGTATAAAAAAGATGGCATTCAAGACATCAACAAAGTTAAAATGGTTAGACAAAAATCGTTGCGCAGTGGAAGCGTTGACACAAAGTGAGCTACAAATTGTAAAAAAATGTTTGATAGCCAACATCTATTTACGTATCGGTTTTATTTATTCAAGAATTATGCAAAGTGTCATCGATGTAAACAAAATAATTGAAACTTTTGTCAACAATTTTAACGAAGCTCAGAAGGCTGAAAATGGAATTTATGATGTTAAAATGTACCATAAGTAAGTTTTAACAAGAACGTATTCAATTATTCCGTGATTTTCAAGCTTTTTGTTTAAATTAATTTTCAGAGATCTAGCGGCACTTGAAGCAGAAGCTGACAAATTATCAAACATTTTTATCACGTATGAACCAATATCATTTTCATAAATTACTGTATTTAAATAAAAGACTATTTTTTATAAAGACAATATTTATTATAGAACTACTGATGCAGATAAACGGACAAAAATCGAAAATATTTGTGATGATCTGTTCACAAATGCGGCAATAATGAGAGCTAGTGTTTTTGTACACGATTGGATAAGACCATCTTCGGCCCTAGTGGCTGGAGTTGCTGGGGCTTTTATCGGTGGTGCTCCATTAGCTGCTGTTGGGGCTGGCGCAGGTTATTTATCTGGACGACATTTTACAAAAATCGATCCATAATTTATGGAACATAGCATTCTAAAAATATGAAAATTCATAAATAAATTCAGAATATTAAATTTGGCAATTCAATTTTTTAATTCGTTGTGGAGTTTCTACTGAAATAAAAATTTACTGGGCAAAAAGCCTTTGTGTGATTGAAAAGCCTGAGCGATTTTGAAAACGGATGACTTTGTCAATAGTATTCAATATATTAACGCCAGAAAATATCAAATCATATCAAATCTTCACTGCAATCCAAGAGTATTTGGTATTCCAAAGTGATAAAAAGAAATCAATCCTTGGAAGGTCATAAATTTATAAAGGAAAACTCTTGAATTCGTATAAACAAAACCATCCAATTTTAAAGTATAAGTTTCATCATTCCATTTTCAGGCTTGCCACTGGTAGGCTATTTCAGCTAGTTTGAAAATCGTAGCTATAGTCGGCTTTTTCATCAAAAATCAGCTTTTCTCAGCTATTCAATTTTTCGATGGAAATTGAAAGAAATAGGGGTGCTAGAACGCCAAAGTAACCAACGTGAATAATCAAAATAGCTTGGAAATGAAAGAAAAACAGTTTTTGACTATACCGATGAATGCGTTTGACTCATCTTGCAAACAGATAATAATAGCCCGCTATAGAATGACTTGTTCACTAACATAGCAAAGATTTCTGCATTTCTTTGAAACTGTCAAAAATCAATGCATATAACGATTCGAATAAAAATCAGTATTCTACGCGAAATTTCATATGATTTTGTTTAGTTGTCTTTTAGGAATGAGTTCAAAGATAAGAAAATTCTGTCCAGACCGGCTCGATCAGTTCAGTTTGATACCAGACGTTATCCACGCCTATAAAAGTAGTGCGAAGGACTATAGAGATTTTAGAAAGGTTGGTAAAGATCGTGCAAAATGTTTAATCTGTTATTTTGACAGATTCAAAGATCTCCGAAAATATTCGAACACTTTTAGCTTATATTTTGCTAATAATGTTCAGCTTAAATTTTTTTGACCATCACAGCAAATTCAAAGTATTTCTGTGTAATCAGCCACAGTTAATGTTAAAAATAAAGGGTATAGTGCACTAACGCAGCATATGGAAACTGATGCATGAATTGCTTATGCTAAAAGACATAAAGGATTAATATCGATGAAATCATTAAAGTGAGATTGTTTCTTATCATTCATCAAAAAACAAAACAAAAACTGTAGACATGATTCATCATTGCGTAAATTTGTCAAATAACATAAAAAAACAGCAAATAAAAGGTCAACGAACTAGTTTGCATTGATATTTTGCCGTTTTATTGGTCAGCTATTTTTGTAGCTATTTGAGTCAAAATTTCATCTTTTTCATCTATATCTTTTTCAAAATTGAGTGGCAAGCCTGCATTTTCATTACAAACACTGAAATATTTAGACTATTCGTTTACATCGAATTACAGGTTGTCAAGCCTTTTTATAAAATAGTTTATAACATTTGAATATTGTTCACAAACAAACAATTCAAAAAAAAAACAATGCCTGTTATTTCCTTGACGTAAAATCTGATACATCAAATACTCATGCGAGTATAATTAGAAAATAAAATTCGAAAACATTTATTGAGGCACTCCAAATCGAAGATATTTATAACAAATTTATAACTTTTATTTCAGTCTCTCTGTTAATTCCAAATAAAAATTATAATACACATATACATAACTTGGCTGTTATGTAAAACTGTTTTTTCAAACGGACAATTCTCTTTATACTGCAAAAACTTGTAAAAACTTTTGTGACCCTGAATCGTCAGCTCATTTGAGCAGACGCTAAAATGAATAAATTATTATAAATAATAATAATAATGTAAACAGTTAAACAACAGAAAACTTTTATTTGCATAATTATTGTCGAGAATTTTCTGATAAAATTCCCAAAAATGCCAATAGAGCGAGATGAGACGAGAATATAAATGTGTGAACACGTTGAATGTTTTTCATTGGAAATTTACTTTGCAAAATTGATGAAGTGTTTTCATTATAATAAAAGTGAAAATGAAGCGGTTGATAACTTTGAGTTTTTTGCTAACCGTTTTGGTAAGTGAAATATATTCTTTTTGTTTTATTTTTTCTATATATTCATTTCATTTTTTGTATTTTTCCAGACTATGGTTATGATGCAAGGTCTTTCCCTCTATCCCAAGATATAACATTAAAAAAAAAATAACAAAACGTTTTTATTTACTTATAGAAGTTTCCAAAAGTCAACTGATTCATATTTTGAACGTCCCAGTTAATGATAAATCCATCAAAGAATCCAGAGAAAAGCTAGATGAAACAGCTTTTAAGAAAAGGTAGTTGGGTTATGTAATACCGTCAAATCTATCGTTTGTTTAATGTTTTCCATTTAATTAGATGTACGTATGGAAAAGAAGAGATACAAAGCTTGGAAAATTCCAAATTGGTTCGAAAGAAATCCGTACGAAGTGGTGTTGATGACAAAAAGTATGCAAAAAATCTTCATACTAATCAAATATTATGAATTTGATTAATCTAATAATTTTTTTTTAGAATAATGGAATGCGTCTCGAATGCAAATGCAATAATTGATTTTTTCGAAAAAAGGCATTACGAAGCACAAAAAAGAACTAACGGAATATATGACATTGGACTGTATCAACGGTAGGTTCCATTATGAACAATATTATTATTAAATACCCATCATTCAATCTTCAATTTTGTAGAGATCTAGCGGGACTTGAGGCCGAAGCTGATAAGCTATCAATTATTTATTTGTCGTAAGATCCGATATTTTCTCATCATACCCTACGAATACACATTAATCATATCTATTTTAGAATTATAGATCCACATAAGCGGACAAAAATTGAGAATATCTGTGATGACATATACGCAAATATGATAAGAATGCGAGCAAGCGTTTATGTACACAACTGGATAACAAAAGCTTCGGCTGCGGTGGGTGCATCAGCTGGAATTGTTTTGGGTGGAATACCTGGGGCCACAATTGGAAGTGCCGTTGGCTACTGGGCTGGAAAACATTTCATAAAAATTGACCCATGATTCAATTAACTTGATTTTGAGATAACTTTCATCTCAAAAGAATTGAAGTAAAGATGATATCAAAATACATAGAATCTGTTTTTTTTTTCTAAATATGGAGTAAAGTATTCATTAGATTGCTTGAGTTTTCATGCATACATAAGCAAGCTTCAATCAGCTTGTGCGATAGTTATGAGGAATACATAATGATATTCACTTTTTTTCTCGAAACTATTTGCCGTAAATGTGAGAGAGTTACCGAAATTATCTCGAAGCATACCGTCAATAACTCGACATCTTGTGTGATGAGACTATCGTTTTTCCATTAAGACTCTCTAGACTCTCAGTAATAATAATCATAGAATGAGCGATTTTTCTTACCTTTTAAGCGGTGTGCAATTTGGCGAAATCGACGAGCATTTTTGCGCTTTCTACAAAATCAAATAGACAACAGTAAATTTTCGCCGGATATTGTTGAAAGTTTGGAAGTGGCCGCACAATGCCTGGAAACGGCATACGATCTACCATCGTTGAGTAGTGATGGTGCTTCGGGTGATGATAATCCATTGAATCACATAGATTTGTACGACATTTACCAGAGCACATGCTGCACCATCAGCCCGGATCGAAAACAAGAGGCGGAAAACATCAAAAATGAGGGAAACCAACTGATGAAAGAGGAAAAATATACGGAGGCTTTGGTCGCATACAATCGCGCACTCAGCATAGACGCAACCAATCCAGTGTTTTATTGTAACCGAGCTGCTGCTTATAGCCGATTGGGCGACTACCAAAAAGCGGCCGAAGACTGCAAAATGGCTCTGAGATACGATTCAAACTACAGCAAAGCATACGGTCGTCTTGGGTAAGTTCACTTTTTTCGAAATCGTTATTGAACGAATGAACGGGTTCTAATGTGAGTTTTCCATTGTAGTATGGCCTATGCAAAAATGAACAAGAACAAGGAAGCTGAAGATGCATACAAGAATGCACTTCGTTTGGATCCAGATAACGCTGATTACCAAAATAACTTGAGTGTCACTCAACAACGCATCCAAGAAGGTATTGGCTGTGGAAGTTTTGACTTAAACTTCTGATTTTTGCGCCTACTTTTGTGAATCCCATCAAAATGATTCAATTTTCCCTTTAAATGGTTTATAAAATCCGAAATTAGTCACTTCAATGGCAAAAATCTGGTTGATTACTCGAATATTCTAGGAATATTATAATATATAATTTAATTTTGTCACTAATGAAACTGAACTTTAATCCAAAAATGCAGCTCAAACCGCAGCACCAAGTGACGGTCTTCCACCAAATTTTGCTGAGCAAATGGGAGGTATAAATTTCAATGCCGCATTCAATAACCCAGCCCTAATGAACCTTGCCACCCAAATGATGTCCGATCCAGCGATGCAAGATACGATTTCACAATTGCGCAATCAATTGTCGGGCATGAACAATATGAATGGTATTTTTGAAATGTGAGTAGAGCACAACTAAAACTAAAACAATGGATCTGAATGTATATTGTTCAATACTCAATAATTTGCTGAGTTATGCAATACACAAAAGTGGCTAATTGAATTTGGTTTGCTGTATGTTTCTTATTAGTGGACGTCAATTGGTTGGACAAATGCGTACGAATAATCCGGAAATGTTTGAAGCGGCAACGCAAGCAGCAGCACAAGCAACACTTGCCAATATGGATCCAAATAATCCGAATCCGAATCCGAATCCGAATCCGAATCCGAATCCAAATAATCCAGACCAACCGCCACCATCGATCTAAACAACAAAAAATCATGTTATTAATTCTTCACATCAGAAAAAAACAACAACAAAAACATGTATTCCTTTTAATCGTCGAGCATTTCGTTTTTAGTTAGATCGATCAGCATTGAACTATTCCTATTTTGCCTTTTCTCTCTCTCTCTCTCTCAATAATAATTCAATAAAAACAAAGAAATGAAACAAATCCATATGGTTGGGCCAAAGTAAAAAAAATTGTTTTTGTATTCTTCCATACACACGAACGCACGATTTAAAGTAGAATTAATTGAGTTAGATTCATATGCGATGCATGCAATTCTGAAAAAAAAAAATCCAACAAAAGTCACAATTGATGTAAGCTAAAAAAAGCTTCTCTTTATTTTTCAATACTAAAACAGAACGTTTACATCTATAAAATAAATAAATGTATTCTTGATTATCCAACAAATCGAAGGACTCTCGTAGTTGAGGAGGTCGGGCTTGCGCAGGCTTAATCAAAAATATCATCGGCAAACAAAAAAATCGAGAGAAAACCAAAAATCATTGAATTTTTTTTTTCTTCAAAAAAGAAAACACGTTCCATATAGAACGAATAACAACAAAAATGTATACTCTTCAATAAACGCTCCATTCACTAAATTGTGTCTATATAAAAAGAAAGTCACCTGTCGTCTGGAGAACCAAATGAATCAAGTCTTGAAATCAAATCGAACGAAACAAGCCACGAAAAGAGAATTCTGAACCAACAGTCTTCCTCTTCGTTACATAATATATATGGGTACAAACATCTCTTATCTCTTCTGTCTTGTTTTTTATTTGTTTTGTTATGCGTATAAATGCGATGCGTAAAAGAACCATTGAAAAAAAAATTGAATAAAAATTCCTGTACCTGTATACAAAATTGCTATATGATTCTCTTTTTTGTCATTCTTATCCTTCTCTCTCTCGCTCTCTCTTTCTCAGTGTATTGTTTGTGTATTTGAATTTGTGAATATTTTTAAATTCGGTGACAGTAGCTGTTCGCACCTTTCGTAAACTATATGTCTCTCGTTCAAATCTGGTTGTCAGGTCTATTGAAATAAAAATGCTATTTCTTCCATGACCCTTTTTATTTTTGTTGTTTCTTTTTGTTCTTTCTTTAAACATATTCAAAGTAAATGCATGCACTCAGCAATTTTCTTATGATTGATTTTCCATTTTCATATTGTTATATTTCATCCGTTAAATGATGTATTTCACCGTATTTTTATTTTGTTCTCTTTCTTTTGTATAGTTATTGTTGTGTGTGTGTGTATGTTTTTCTTTCTCATTATACAATATATGTACTAATATGAATCGATCACCACCTCACTTCAACTAAGAAAAAAACAAACAAATTGGCTCAATCATAAACATTTCCATACCATTATCATCGGTCACGAGGCTATGGCGGATCGATTCATTTTTTGTTGTTCTTTATTGACATGAAAACATGCAACTCAGCCCAGAAGGGCATATACATTGGAGCCTGGTTATGGTCAAAAAATTGTTCCAAAGTTTTTTTTTTTCAACTTATTCCTAGTGTTGGCCGTCGAACAATTTCGAACACTTGTTCGACCGTTCGACAACATAAAAAAAAATTATTTTGTTCGTTCGTTCGTTCGAAAAGTTGAAAATTATTTTTTTTGCTCGTTCGTTCGTTCGAAATTTATTTTAAAAAAATGTTGTTCGTTCGTTCGTTCGGAAATCGCTATGTTCGACCGTTGGGATTTTTTAAATTTGAAATACATAGGAAGCAAATATTTCTTTGGCTAAGACTGAAGGTACAACGTTATTACCGGTGTTATTACTCAGTAATACCACTGGTAATAATTAGTATCGATCTTATTACCGATTAATAAGTAATTACCTTAAGTACTTAATTAAACTTTCTACTTAAGCTTGAGTATGTACTTTAAGTACGTTAAGTACTTTAAGTACGTTAAGTACGTTAAGCACGCTGAGTACGTTAAGTACGTTAAGTACGTTAAGTACGTTAAGTACGTTAAGTACGTTAAGTACGTACGTTAAGTACGTTAAGTACGTTAAGTACATACTCAAGCTTAAGTACAAAGTTTAATTAAGTATTTAACGGTAATTACTTATTAATCGGTAATAAGATCGTTAATAATTATTACCAGTGGTATTACTGAGTAATAACACCGGTAATAACGTTGTACCTTCAGTCTTAGCCAAAGAAATATTTGCTTCCTATGTATTTCAAATGTAAAAAATCCCAACGGTCGAACATAGCAATTTCCGAACGAACGAACGAACAACATTTTTTTTAAATAAATTTCGAACGAACGAACGAGCAAAAAAAATAATTTTCAACTTTTCGAACGAACGAACGAACAAAATAAGTTTTTACAAAACTTTCGAACGAACGAACGAACAAAATAATTTTTTTTTATGTTGTCGAACGGTCGAACGAACGTTCGAAGCCAACACTACTTATTCCCTATTTTCATCAGTATAATGTGTTATAATGGTAGGAAATGGCAAAAAATATATTTGCCTTGTCGACGAAAGGGTAAACAATAACAATTTTTTTTAGCGCACACTGAGACTCTATTGTGAATTTAGGTTGAACTTCTCTTTCAAAATTAGAATTATCGGTCTTTCATCCCAAAAGGTGAGATTTTTTGCCAAAGAAAAATTTACGAAAAAATGGAAAGGGAGAAAAAAGTGAAAATTAGTAGAGATGGTAAAAAAAAATTTGAAAATCATTTCAAAAATGGGATGTCATAAACCGGATTTTGAATTTGAAAAATAAATTTAATGAGCAACAAAGAAAAGAAATAAAATGACTGGCGGGCAAAATGGCGAAAGTTCGTTAATCACTCAACAATTTTGTCTCAATTAAATATTTTGCTTTAGCAGAAAGAAGAAGAGTTGAAATTTTTTTTTTTTCAAATTCGCTCAGTGTGTGCTGTGAATAGTTGAAGATCAAGTGAAAAATGGCTTAAGTCTTATGTTGCATAAGAAAATCGCTTTAGTGATGAGAAGACTTGAGATGAGTTAAATATGGCATAAGCCGTTGTCATGTTAAATTCAATACAAAATGTGTGTGTCCTTAAGTGTATGTATCTCTTATTTCTGTCATTTTCTACCGGAAAACTTTCCCAAAAGAAAAACAATGGCTATAATCAAATGTGGACTATTTCTCATTGAAGCTCATACACTATCGTCAATAATGTCGTCAATTTATCAATTGTGATTGGGAACACTGCGACATCTAAGTCCATTTCTACAGTATATCATTTGTAAAAAGTCATACAAAAATTGTAGAAATTCATTAGAGTGCAAACGGTCCAGCGGTGTTGCACCGAAAAAGAAACGAAAAAAAAAATTCTCCCCGAAAATGTTGTGTCCGAGCTCTGCACGAACGAAAAATGAAATGTGTTTGTGTGTGAATTTTCCACTGGTGTGTATGTGTTTGTGTGTATCAAACGAAATCCCGGTGATTTGTGCGTAAATCTGTATTATCGACACAATGGATGAATTGTCTAACAAAATAAATCATATGATTCGTTTTTTCTCTCCATCTAATTGCAATTACTACGAACAATTTCCTATTTAAGTTTACCCAGTCAATCGTTAGGTTATTTTTTGTGGTCATTTGTTTTTTTTCAGGTTGTTTTTTTTTTCATCATCATCTTTTATGTAGCAACATCCATTGCGATGAAGTGTGTTTATACAGAATGAGGGAGGAAGGGGTGTATTTTTTGTGAGTGCTAACAATACTGATATTTTGTTTGTTCATCACTTCGTCTAGATTTTTTTTCTTCTTTTATTTCATTTCTATCACTAAAACATGTGTATACATTTACATTTATAATGTCTATAGAAAGGATTTTGGGGCGGGGGAAATGTGACTTGCTTTCCGGAAGTAACTTCAGGTTGTCAACAAGAGAGAGAGAGAGAGAAAACAGTTGCAATCTCGCAAAAATACTCTCTCCTTCTCTTTCTCGCCAACATCCGTCTCCAACGGAAGCAGATAACAGTTTAACCCTAAATTAGTATTTCAATGTAATAACTCCACCTCAGTGATTTTTTGTTTAGTCGGCGATAAATGTAAAGTATATATCTCGTTTATGTTCGAATGTTCAACAGAACACGGCTTGTTTTTATTCTTGTTTTTGTTATTGTTAGTAAATCATATTACAATTAATATTATTATTTGTTTTCATTATGCTATGCGTAACGGTACAATTTCAAATACATTCCCCATATTTTCTGTTTTGCATCAAGCAAAATGCTCGCATGCTTCTCATATATATGTATAAATGGGAATTATACAATTTTGTTTTATGCTTTTTGATTACTATTTTTCTCTATCTTGATCTTTGCATCGCTCGAGATCGTCAGTTGTCATGTGTTTTTTGCCGGCCGGCCAGTTCGCTCGCTCGATTGACTGCAAAGCGGGCCCGCCGCTAAAACACCATTCACGTCATAACGTGCAAACGCGTTCCATTTGATCATTCCTCGAATAATAACAGACGATGTTGTGTGTATAAATCTAATTTGTTTTTCTTCACCTTTAAATTGTATTAAGTAGTTTTCTTTTCTTCGATCAGTTTCGACTCCTTACCTTCGACCTGTCTACGATATGGCTTATTTACTTGCTATTTACTTCTTCTTCTTCTTCTTTTTTATTTGTTTCCCTAGTGTATACAACTTTCTACGCCTATTTCTTTTCGTTTTGCACCAATGCAACTGAATTCCATTCTCCCTTCTTCCCCGTCGAAACGAGAGTGGGCCCGAAAGTTTTTACTCGCTATCATTAAGACCGACACGTTTTTCCTCCTCGAGCATCGCATCTAGTTCATCGGTTAAATTGGCCAGCATATTTCCAATGTCATTCAGCACCGATACGCTAGCGTGTTCCGTTTGACTCGTATCTTTTGCCTCGTTGCGACACGGCGACGTGGCTGATGATAAATTTGTAGGCGTATTGTCGGCAGTTGCTGATTTCGACTGTGACGATGATGAATCGTCCAGCGATACATTTGCCGTTGAATGCATTTGATTATACTGATTTACACGTTGCTTTATTGTGCCCGCATTGTCATTGGCAAATGGCAATTGATCGATTGAATCAATGCTCGAGTTTGACTGTGAATAGAACGAAAAATACACCCGTATTAATTTTCTGTTGCGAATTTAAGAAAAAAAAAAACAAATTTACGATATTCCTTGAATATTGTGAAAAATGGATGTTTCTTCCATTCAATTTCGACGGATGGTCTTACCTTTGAATCGTTGCTAGCTGTGAATGGCACCTTTTCGGCATGCACTTCGGCTCGTGTTTGGATATGATTTGTACTGGTCATTTGTATGTTTGGCAGCGATTTTTGTGGATGCATTGCATTCACAACGGCATTATAGTTCGCATAAATCGGTTGCTGGGCCGATGGCATACTCAATGACATCTGATTGCAGCTATCATAGAATGGCATCGAATGCATTTGACTTTGCACTTGATTCGAATAGCTGTAAATGTCCTGTGAATTGAATGCACCTTTGGATGGTTGCCCGCTAATGGACAATGATTCATAATCTTCACAGATTTGATCAAGTGAACCATTTGGTCGGAGTGTACTGTTGGAACAGTGTCGGCGCGGTGGTTCCGGTGCTATCGATCGGATTTCGTCTAATTTCGGCTTTAGCAGATCTTGCTGCTGTTGTTGCTGTGGAATTGCATGCAAGACATTGCCTTTCACCATCGCAATGGGCTTATTCCGTTGCGGCACCGTCATCCCTCGATTTCTTAATAGACTATCACGGTCAATATCACCCGCCAATGTGTTGATATCACGACTGGTGCGGCCACACATTTCATTCGTTGGCGTAATATCACCATCAACGTATTGTCGCCACGATTGCTGATGCAAATGATGGCCCATTTGATATTGACTGCTAACGGCTGACATTTCATGTAACGCCTCTTCAGCTTCTGTTCCTTGGCTGTTATGATGCTGACTAAACGTCACAATCATTCGATTCTCATCCGAATCGTCGGGCGAATCAATCGAACGACCACGTGGTTGTCGTAACTAAAATGATGAAATTGGAACGAAAAAAGGTTTGAAATTTTTCGTATTTTAAAAATGGTTGAAATTGAAATTGACATTAATTCTTGAGTTTTAAAATGAAGTCTGTTCGTAAATGTTGAATTTTGTTTGCAAATTCACCTTAATCAAAACAAAGTCATTATTATCCTTTTCGAGAATGGTATTGTGTGGCATCAAATGGTGCGACTGTTGATAGTTGGGCTGCTGATAGAATTGATTGCTAATACTGCTATCGGTTGACAGAGGCGAGAGATGCGGTGGCATTGCGTTCAGCATGTGCATTTGTTCGAAATATTGTTGTTGATGGTCCCAGTTGAGCATCTGTGAATTGACCGAGCAATCCTATTTAGAAACAATGTAATTGGTTTTTTTTTCGGTACATTGTCAATATGTGCAATCATGTGGAATGAAAATTTTTGCTTGATAAATGGGGCGAGGGAGATGGAAATGTTTATGTGTGTGTGAGTGTGTGTCTTACCTGTGGACTGTTTGCTATGCCGGGCGCAATCCATTTTCCGCTATGTATATCTTTGATTCGTTTAATGGCTAATAGTAATTTCTTTTGATGGCCTAATTTAACGATACCAATATCTTCCATATCTTCCCATGGCAACTGTGTCACATCGCGCACTTGCCGATAACCTTGAGCTAACAATGGCTGAATGTACTCATCCAAACGTAACAAACGCAACCACTCCTCGATTGAACCCTATTGAACAGACACACAGTTGTAATAAGCATTTTTGTCATTTTCAATTATTATTTTTTTCGGCTTTTTCTCTTCTTTCTTCATTCTTTTTTTTTGCTCGAATATCATTTACTTTTCTCATATTCTTCCACATTTTTCTTATTTTAATCTATTTTCTCGTTTTTTTGTTCCATTTTTTCTTTCATTTTCTCCCGTCTCATTCGTTAATCATCGTTAAAAGAATTTCAATCATACTAACCGGAACGTAATGCGGTAAATTATCGGGTAATTGCAATGAGTCAATGTGCTGTTTGATTCGTTCTCGATGCCTTGGCTTTTTTATACCGATCGCCGTCAAATCTTCCGGTGTCATTCGGCTAATGGTTGGCATGTCATAGCCAGCCTCCGAGAATAATGGTGCATACTCTTCCATTGACAGTTCACGCAGCCAATCGCAAATGATTTCATGATCGGTTCGATGCATATCGGCACTGCCAATCGAACACGAACTCACCGAACTGCATCGTGGACTGGATAAAATGCCACTGTTATTCGTGAATGGTGGCACTTGATTGGAAAACGGTTGATATGCCGATGGTTTTGATGCCACCGACGATGATGTGTGATATGATGACGCTCGGCCACTGTCTAAACTGGCCGTTGAATGTCGCGAACCCGATCCAGAACCAGATGAACTACCTGGACTATCTCGGCCTGGGCTCTGTGTTAGATCAATGCCTGGAGAAAAATATTCAAGATTAATTAGACTTTTAGCTGTCATGTTCACAGTTCAATGGGTTAAACAGTTCAAATTGAAATCAAAATCGATGGTGAATTGAAAAATAAAATCAATTAAAAATTGAAGAAAAATGAACATTTAGTTCAGAATTCAAACTTTTAAATTTTCAATCGAAATATACCTTGATCCTCTTGCAATGCTAGCTGCTGGTGATAGTATACTGCTGCTTTATGTGTCAGCGGTTGCTGATTTTGAACGTGAAAGATGAATGCCTGTTGAGATTGTGCTGTATTGGCACTCGATGATGCGTTTCCTATTGGAAAATGGGCGAAAATGAGAAAATAGTACCAAAAAAGCTGCGACTTTTTTCTTCGATCAAAACATTCACAAAGATGAAAAAAGCGAATAAAAAATTTATAGAGAGCACCAAAAACTAAACCCAATATTTTCTTACCGCTAACATTAGCTGCTGGATTGGCTTGTAGTAGACGACTAGCTGCGTTATCAGGTAAATCAATGGATGAATTGCTAGCGTTACTTCGCAATGACACATTTAATGAATTGTTTGGATCGTTAGCAGTGGCATAAAAATTATTCGAACCGCCGCCCATGTTTGTTGTATCGTCACACGAACCGTAACCGGCCGAACCAAATGAGCTACCAGAATGTCGATAAATTTCGGGAACAGCTGGCGGTGTAACTCGTTTAGCTTGCTGCATTCGTTTTGGAAGACGGTTCATGCCTTCCTTATTCACTGTATTTGCGAAAATTAATTCGGTATAAGACAACAACGCCGCAAAAAAAAAAAATTTGCCGCATCGCAATGAAGAATTGGGAAAGAAAGAGAAGAGAAAAAGAGAATATGGTTAATGAAATGCTTTGCAATTCGAATGAAGCGCAAATAGAAAATGGCATCATTCGTAGAATGTATTCCACTACTACTTTTAATCAAAATCATTTAGCCTCGTGAATAAAGCTAAAAAAATTTGTTGTTTCCAAATCGAGAGTCAAAGAAGAACTAGCACTTAATTAGATGTGTACACACACAATGTTTTGTTTATTTTGTCAAATATGTCTAACAAGCAATTCGCATTCTCATGCGCGTACAATGAACATATTTATCACACAATCAAAAACAAAGCACGAACAGAAAAGAAAAAAAAAAGCCAAACATTTTGCATAAATATCTAAAATGCTACATAAACCGAAACAAATTAGGATTAGAATGCGAATTTCAAGGCAAACACTTAACAAAATATTGAGATTAGATAAACAGAAATGATTGTAATTAAAAAGTGCATAGCATCAGGCCAATTCAAAACTAACTCTTAATAGGATAGATACAAAAAATGAAAAGAAACAAAAAATCATAAAATAATAAAAATAAAGGAATCTCACCAGTCAGTTTCCGCATTTTAAATTCTAAATCAAGTGCAAATAGAATTGTGTGTATGTGTATTTGTTTGTACTGTTTTTGGGGGATTGATCGGGATGCCAGTTTTTAAAATAAAAGTGGTTTCGCAAATTTCGCTGGAATTACCAATGAGTTGTTGTCTATATGTTGGATGGCTGCGAAAAACTGGAAACAACTTTTATTTTTGCTCAAATTCGATTTTTTGTCTGTGGTTTTTTTTTTTAAATATTTTCTTTGATTTGGATGGTGTGTGTGCGTTGTGTTGTGCGATAGAAACGGAGTGAAAGAGAATGAGATCGCGCTTCAATCCGCGAGTCTGAGTCTTTCGGTCAGAACGGTTCCGTGCACGAATTCGAGATGATTATGGTGTGTGGTGATAAAACACAACAAAACAATAAAAAAACAACAACAACACAGAACTTTTAACACACATTCAAAATCAACATCAATAGTGTTATCGATGAGCTTAGTTTTTTTGTTTCTCTCTTTCTCTTTCTTTGTTAGTTCAGAAGAACTATACGCTCTCTCTCTCTCTCTCTCTCTCTCTCTGTGTGTGTGTGTGTGTGTGTAATGTATGTGTTTCTTTTTTTTCTTCGTTCGATTTTGTGTGCTTTTTTCTTGTATATTTTTGGTACAGCAGCTGTGGAAGGAAAGAAACAAAATGAAATCAAAGAATGAAATAAAAACATTAAAAAAAAACTAAACTAACACGAAGTAAACGGCTAAAAAACGGTTCGGGGAACTAATTTAAATAACATCACAAATGAAAAGGAAATAAATCAAAGCGGTCAAACAGTGTGTGATTATTGATGTGTATTGTACATTTGTTCATTCGTTCGAACGTTCGTTCGATCATTTGTTTCGGGGCGAAATAGCAATTGCAACGCAAAGCAAAGCAAAGCGCAGCACACGACCGCGATACACGAATCTATATGACAGATGAAAAAGATTTTCAATTGAAAAATGAGTGTCTCTCTGCCTAGAAAAAAAAAATCAATTTGGAAATATTATATATGGTTTGTTGTGCGGTGCACGCGTTTGGGGGCGCTCCTCGCGCGCACGCACACGCCACACTCATAATCATATTTAAATGGCTGGTCGCAACTCGTTTTCGTTCAATATTTCGCGCCTCTTATGAATATATATGTACAACTCCTCTATCAAAGAGAGAGACGAGAATAACAACAACACAAATAGTTAATTGTTTTGTAGTCGTTGTCGCCCAGCACTTAAAAGATCGTAGTTTCGTAAAATCAAGTGATTTAAATGTTAGTTGTTGGATGGTTCGGTTTTTTTTTCCCAGACAGTTTTCTGTATCTCGTACCACATTGACACACAGGCCAGTTACCAAAAGAGAAAAAAACAAAACCAACAACAATAACAGCAGCAGCAACAACAATCGGTTGTCCAATTAGAATATTGCGCGTATGAGTGAATAAGACGGACTTTCTTGCATGATGACGGAGCTATGCTTATATGGATTTTTTTTTGCTCTCTTCACAGTCATTACACATTCGGCGAACACATAATTCTGGTTCTCATTGTTGGTCACATCGACCGATACACACCGACTTCTGCCAAGCAAAAATTAATATATTGTGATTTGTGAGTGCTTGGGCTAGTTTTGTACTGTTTTGTCGTGTTTTTTTTTCTCTTCTCATATTCTGCTGCTACTTTCCGTTCCGTCTTCGTCATAAATTCTTTTTTTTTCTTCTCTGCTGTTACGCTTCTTTTTCTACTCGTCATTTAATTTTAATATTACAGCTATTTTGTTGTTGGCTCAAGTTTGATGGTTTGATGGTTTGTTGTTGTTGTTATTATTATTATTGTTGTCGTTGTCGTTGTTGTTTCATATTCGCTTGTACTTTTCAATTTGGCTCATTGTCAGATCCATACACGAACTGCGAAAGACAGCCAACTGATCGAGATATAATGGACGCACATGAAATAAAACAGTGTAGAGAAAATGATGAAACAAGAACACACATATTCTCTTTTCTCCATACTCACACTCACTCGCTCACTCACTCACACGCTCATTCACAGTCAGACATGCTGCAGAAAAGTAAATATCGAGCGATTTGTTGTGCTGCTGCTACTACTGATGTTGTTGTTGTTGGGTCATTTTTTCTTTCTTGTATTTCGTTTCGTTTCTACATTTCTGTCGTTTTGTTCTTTACAGTACAAAATACACATGACGCGGCAATCTAGCTAATACTTGACAATAAATATTGGCTGGTCTCGCTCTCTTTCGCACTCGTTGCATATGCACGAGATGTATGCGAAAATCAACTTGCGAATCTTACGCACAACTAATCGGTCTAACCCATTAAAGGGCAGGCGACATTCCGGTTGGATATTTCTGTTTTTATTTCGTTCGCTTTTTTCTTCTTCTTTTCAATTATAATTTTTCTTTTCCTTCAATGGGAAATCAGAGTCAGTTTTTATGTTTATGGGATGAACTGCACCATTGCACTACTATGTCTTTGGATTTGAGTCTTTGGTCGTCGCAGTGGATATTGCCGTCATCGTCGTCGTCATTGGTGCAGCCGTGCTGTTCGATTTGGCCGATGAATTGGATCGAATTGGACACAGGGCTTAAATTAACTTTATGACTTTATGTGCTTTACTTAATTATACACAAACAAAACATCTCGACGAATAATAAATGGGTGAGATAGAGAAATAGAGAGAGGGAAGGAATATGAGAGCGTGAAGTGCCGACATTTGTTAAGTTCTTAAATCGCTTATTCGCCAATCGATGTATACACTTTGTGTTATATGTTTGTTATGTTTTTTGTTGTTGCTTTTCTTGTTTACTTTTCCAATTGGCGGATTTGCCAACAACACAGCAAACAAACACATACACACACCGAGGCTAACAATAGTAACATGAGAGCGCGCAACCACAGCAACAACAACAATCACACAGAACAATATATGGATATTTATATTCACCAAATAAACACATCACTGTTATGCGAATAACACGGAATCAAACAGCGGCCGACCAGCAATTTTATGACAATTGCATTTTTTCCGCATAACTCAAGCACATTTCACACATTTCATTCGATTTTAACGCATTTTTTCAGCCAAAAAACCCATTTAAATTTCAATCTGTTCCAAAATTTACCGAGACAATTACTTGGTTGTGTTTTAATATCTAGACGAAGTTCGTGCCATGCAGTCGAAGTCCTAACCAGCGGCAGAATGAGGCGCTCAAGACAGATTGTGGAAGGAGAACGACACAGCACAATCGAGTAACAAAGCAACGGCAACAGCAGCATAAACACAACATGTATGAAGAAAAATAGAAGCAGAAAAAATATAAAACGCGCTAGCGCGCGCGTTTCAATGTGCGATGCATAAAGCAAAGCGAAGAGAGTACAGAAAGAAGTAGAAGAAAAAAAAGTGAACCAACAACCAAGTCCAATAAATGAATATGATCAGGTTTTGTTTTTCATCGCGGCATACATCATGGATTGGTTACTGCTCTCTGTCTCTTTTCGGCCAGTGCTGTCGCCTTCAATGTTGTCGATGTCGTCGTCGTCGCCGTCATTGATGCTGCTGCTGCTGTCGATGCTTGTGCTGTGCCAAAGCAGAGATGATGGAGCATTTACCCATTCATTCGCACTCATGCACGCAACACGTCTGTTTTCTCTTCACTCAAAGCCCAAGTGAATAAGACGATTGCGGTGTGTGCCTTTATTTTAACATATATATAATATGTGAAAAGAAGAAGAAAACACACACTCCAAAGTGATGATACTAAAGCTAATTCTCGCTCTCGTTATGTGTTTGTTGTCTCTTGTGTGCTCAAACCCAGTTAGAGAGAAAGAGAGTACAAGAGAGATTCAAGACGAGAGATGATGGTTTTGGGGCCTGAACAGCCAAAATGCGCCTTTGCTTTCTTTTCCGTGATGAAATTATGCACGACTACACGTAACAACACATTCTCGTAAGCATTTGAGCTGAGAAGTTAAGACGGCGGCGACGACGAGTGAGAGAAGAAAAAAACAACGACTCACACACAAACGGTCGAGAGAAAAAAAGGAACTTGCCGAAAGAAAAATGATATCGTCGTGCCTATAGATAGAGCAGCAGCAAAAACAATGAAAAGAAGCATATATACAGATGACAAGGATCGAATTTAAATTCTCTTTAGCACGATGAAGTGAGAGATGATATGCATTGTCGGATTGTATGTCGGGTACCAGTAATTTTGGCCTGGGCTAGCACGTTTAAGCGAAATTTTCACAGCAACCAGGCAGCCAGCTAGTGGCAACAGCGGCAACAACAACAGAGCCGTTAAGCAGTAGCTGCAAACCACGATCCCACAGCCATTTGTTCGGTCGTTCGTGCGATCGAATCTCATTCTTGTCGAATCGACCACGACCAAAATGCAAATGCCTAACACTCATTAACACATTCGAATTGCCGTTTTATTTAATTTAATTTTCCATTTTGAAAGAAGAAAAAAAAAACGTTTCTACTGCCGTTGCTGTTGAGGCTGTGTACTTTAGCGGCTGAAGTTTCAGTAAACAAACAATTCGAAATTGTTCACTGAAGAAAACAACAACACCACCATATATTCATAATGGCTGTGAAAAGCAGTTCGTTTGTTTGACTAAGTGATGTTTACGCGCATTTCATATTATTAAATAAAACGTTTTGCGATTGAGATTTCGTTGAACTCTCTTTCTCAACTCAAATCAAGACTCTATTTCTTCTCTTTTTTTCTCCCCGGTATTCGTTTGTTCGTTGCTTCTCTTTTATGTTTTATATGGAATTTTGCAAGCGAACGCGTGCGCGCGAGAGCCCTCTTCCCACGAGATTAAACAGAAAAGAATAGAGTACATTCAAAAACCGACAAATTGACTCGAAATCGAAGTGATTTGCTTACAAAAGCTACAAATCTATTGCTCAATGCACATAGTCCGCATCAAAACAGTTTTTTTTTAAAAACATTATGGCTGTTGTGTATGCTTGTGTGTTTTCTTCTCTCTACACATTTTTTTTTCGAACATCATGTTTCGTTTTTTTTGGGAAGAAAGGTGAAAAAAGAGAGTTTTTTTTTCATAAAGAAATGGACGGTTTTGTACCCGTCATACGCACGTACACGCAATTCAATCGAAACAAAACCAACACGACACATGTGAAAGGAAATCTACAAAAGCGACAAATTGAGCTGAAACGAACAGAGAGACAGAGAAGGAAAATAGCAGCAACCGGAGAAAAATATGAAGAAAACAAACTGTACACGAGACGAAAAAAGTAGATAAAAAGAAGTAAGCAAGTAGTGTAGTAAGCATTATGTACAATATCGCACATGGAATACAATAAACATACCAAAGCTCTTTCATTACACAAGATGAACGGAGGAGCGCACGCAACGAGCAATCGCGCATCATACAATATGCGCGAGCACAAAGCGATTTTATTATGACGATTTTTATGGAAATTGAAAAGAAAACAACAAAGAAAATAAAAGAGAAGAGAGAAAAAAAACACAACAAGATAAAAGACAAATCCATCATTTAAGTTGAAGCTGCAACATGTGCGCATTAGCGAGCGAATAGGCGCGCATATGCCAGCTTGTTAGCTAGCTCAAACTCGCTCAGCCAAGCCGAGTGCTCAATTTGCGAATCATACTAATTCGGTCATATTCATCTAAAACCGATGTGGACAGTAATCTGTGCAACATAAATAACGATCGAGATCGCTCCGCGCGCGCAAGAGAGATAGAGAGAGAGAGCGCAAGAAGGAAACGAAAAAAGAAACAAATCCGACGATGTCTTTGGTTCGCAACCCAAAAATGGGCAAATAATAATGGTACACAACTGCAGCGAAGAAGCGAACGAAGGAAACAAAAAATGCACCGTTGAAACGGTGCAAAGAAAAGCTGACTGAGAAAAATGTTTCGTTGCAAAAATGGCATACAAATTTGAATTTGTTGCTCTTGGTTTGGTAAAAGACAAAAGTAACCACATCGCAATAATTGCGCGCAAGAGATTTTGTAGCGCACATGCAATGAGGCAATCGAACAAAGAGAGTTTTGAGCGTGCGCACAGCCGTCGTCGTAAACGAAATTGCAGCCAGCTCGATCGACACTATCCATAACACGATAGTTTACGAGCTGCGAACGAAACGGACCAAATAAAAAAAAGCTAAAAACAAACGGGAAATTGGTGTGTGTGTGTTTTTCATGCTTTCCTTCTTTCTTCGCGTTCGAGAGAGAGATATAGCAAGAGCCAAGTGACATTTTATGGAGGCGAATATGCGCCGTGGAAAAAATAATCTGATAGCTAATCGAACGCCTTAAAATATAGAAGAGATGAAATGAAAAGAAAAAAAAAAACGAAACGATCGTGTAGAAAGAGATGTGGCCGAAATAATAATAGCTGTACTCGGTACGGATCATAGTGGCACGGCAGCAAAATGATCACGGTTTTGGAGCGTTTGAAGAAAAAGAGCCTGAATGAGCTAGAGACCAGTATAACACACATACACACACCCATACACAAAACACCGGGGCCCATGAAAGTCGTGCCAGATGTGGAGTTCAATTGAGCAACAAATTGAAAAACTACGTTGCTGTTTGTGTCTCTTTATCGCAGATAGAGAATAAAAATTAAAAACTAAATAATGTACCGAGAGATATGCACGGTGTACGTATAAATAGAAAGAGAGAAAGAAAGAGAGAGACGGAGAGAGGGAGAGGGAAAAAAACGAGAGGCATAAATCTTTGTCACGAACAGAATTTTGACTGTTTTTGGTTTGATGCGCGCACAACTTTACCTTAACCGAGAGACACATCGAGACACCGAACAAACAAACAAACATACAACGGCAAACACTAAACGAAAAGGAGCGAGAGAGAGCGGCGATGGCAGGAACAGGAGCGAGACGAAAATACACATAAGAACGATCGAAACAGCAACAGCAAAACAAACGCAATATAAATGCGATATGTAGCTATAATAAATGGCGAAGAGAGTGACAGAAAATACGGCGCAGCTCAACAATGAGTATTAAAACCATCATAACATTCAGCAGGCATAGAGCATTGAGCTGTGTTGTTTATCCATATGCTGCTTATGCACTCGACTCGACTCGTCATTTCATATACGGTGGTGTGTGCGCATCGCACATCGATTCTTTAAACAGCAACAACAACCACAGCAACAACAACAGCAAGCAGCGAACAGAGAGAGAGAGAGAGAGAGAGAGAAAAAAAAATTCAAAGGCATACAGAACTCAAATCAACTCAACTCAATACGGCAACGGCGAACCGAATACGAATATATACCCGATTTAAAGTGGAAATGTGAAAATGCTTTGTATGCATCAAGCGTATGCGATTACCGTAGCAGCAGCAGCAACAGCAACAGCATATAGCAGTTTCGTCGCTTGTTTTGGGTTGCTCTCTAAAAATATGCGCGCATTACAACAGGGCATTAAAAACATTTTCGGTGTTTACTTCTTTACGATTGTGTGTGTGTGTGTTGGTGCGCCAGGCGATTGAGTTATATGGTTTAGCAGTTCATTTCATTTTGGCTTTTTTCTTCCTTCGCTCTTCATTTTATTATTTTGTTGTTGGTTTCATTAATTCCACACTTTGTTCTTTTTATCATCAGTCTCTTTCTTTTTAGCTCAAATAAACGGTTTTCTTTCATAATTTTGCTCGCTCTCTCTCTCTTTTTCTCTGGGTTTCCATAAAATAAAACGAAAAAGTGTTCTTCATTTTCTTGCATTTCTATTTTTTTCCTCATTTTGGGATTTAGTTTGTGCGTTTCGAGGTTTTGTGTCGATCGTTTTTCATGTTTCATTTTGATTGTGATCCGGAATAATAATCAAAGAAGAGGAGAGAAAAAACCAACATACACGCATTTCTTTTCATTCGTGCCTCGGATTGACAAAGGCCTCGTGTGCTGAGTGCAAAGCACACACCGTACCGCGTGTGCTGCACAAAACACACCAGTTCATAGTCAATTCTGGTGCCCATTTTTAAAACCTATACATTTATTTCATTTTATTATCGATCTCGTTAACATTAAACAACAATATAACAAAATTTACCGAAGAAAAAAGAAATTTTTTTTTTGTAAAAATCCATGCACCTATATCTATGACGACGACGACGACAGATGTGTTCATTTTTCAATGATTGGGCTTTTGGATTTTGTCTTTTGTGTAACGAAAAATGTTGAAAATTTTACAATAAAACAACAACAACAATTCAATAAGACTTAGAAAACCTGAATAAAAACGGCCCGTCAACAATTGAGAGAGTCGATTGAAATTCAGAGTAGGAAGAGGAACACACACACACACACACACACACACACACACGTAATGAATTATCAAGAACGATCGAAAAAAAGAGAGAGAGAGAGAAAAAAATTATGCGATGAATATCGTAATTTCGACAGTTAACTGTGGCTCGTGCACACACTTTAATGCGGATTGAGTCGGCTGTTTCAATCCGTCTGTCGAATGCATATGGCCGGTTTGCCCATTCACAATGTCTGCATCTGACGCTAAATGGAACGAACGGTGGCCGCCGAGAGCATGAAGAGAGTGAAGAACAGAAACAAACAACAACAACCGGAGAAAAAAAAATATTGGGCATTCCAAATATTTCGTCTGTGGGCACAGAGTCGACACACACACACAAAAAATCGTCAAAAATATGCATTGGGCGCTTAATGCCATTCACTCACTTTGAATGGCCTGGGTTGTTCACGAAATTCAACTGCATTTAATACACTTATGGCATTTATGGTTTTTTTCCTCTCACTCTCTCTCTCTCTCTCTCTCTCTCTCTCTCTCTCACTCGGTATAATGGGACCACTCTCAGAACATACTCATTTACGCATTATATTGATAATTTATGGGCTCAAGTCTCGAAAATCCTCTAGCACCCAAAGAGAGAAAGAAAGCAAGACAGAGAGAGAACGGCAGATCTTGTGCTCGTTTGTTTGTCTGTTCATTGCGTCAAATTTTAATGTGTATTTAATTGGCAACGCTTGATTGTTTGAAATTTCTGGAAATGTACTGCGTGCCTGTACAGCCGAGTTCGGCACATCTTTGTGTCCGTCACACACCACTTTTAATTGCAATAATAGTAATCGGTTGCTTCGGTTTAAATACCGAGAAAAAAAATAGCTCACTGCTTTACACCGAGTGCAGGAGACACTCTCGCACACACAAATGTCATAGTGCCTATTCTATTAATAAGCATTCCAATCAATATTTCAACACTTCCCGAATGAACATCAAGCGGAAAATGAATTTCTACTTGAATACGCACACATAATTTCCATAACATAATATATACATAGAGGCACCAAGGAGAGAGAGAGAGAGAGAGAAAGAGAGAGAAAATAACGTAATGGTCTTGTGTGTTGTCAGTTGTTATATATAATTTTGGTTATGCGAACCATCAAGCAGTTATGTGGACGCTCATTGGCAGCAGCCATCAACATTGATTCCCCCGAAAATGTCCGACCATTCGCATTGACTTTTCCAACTGTCGAACTGACCATTTGGTCTGAATAATTAACCGAAAAATCATCGAATCGAAAAGGAAGAAAATCTCACCCAAGATATGCTCCAACGAGAACACGCGAGAGCGATTGAGAGCGGGGCTGAAAGGCTGAAACATCTAAATGGTTATGTGAATGCTTTAATTTTAATTTGTTTTAAAAATTATCCATCTCGAAAACAGCAACAGCCGCTAACAACGACAACAAACATAAGGCAAATCGAACAATGCGACAAATCGGGTTCGAGAATTGGTCGTTTCTATCTCTCCCTCTCTCTCTCGCCTCTCGAAACCAACCAACAAACACTCGTACAACATGATAATGGCGTGTTTGCTTGATATATAACCAAGCATAAAGCATTCGGGTCGGGTGGTTTTTTGTCGTTGTTGTTGTTGTTGTATTATTTTTCTGTTGTTGTTTTTGGAGTCGCTCTTCATTTTTCGCTCGCTCGTTCAGCTCTCTTATTTTTTTTTTTCATTTGCCTTGGTCTCTCCTCGCTCCTATTCTCGCTCATACCGTCTCTCACTCATTCCTCTTCGGCTTTAAAAGAAAATCGATAATACATTTTCCGCATTAAGCGGAACAAGTAGCATAAAAATAAATACCGACCGAGTGAATAACGAATAACGTAACCACCAACCACCAAGTATTTATATTTTCTTGTGTGTCTAACGGTTCATTTCTCGTCGAATGGGTCTAGAGAATACACAAAGAATCGAGCGAACGAGATGGCAATAGTGGGAGAGAATGTGAAAGAGATAGTGGAACGAACATGAAAATGGTTTGGTTTTGCCATTTTTGGATTGGCCAGTTGGCTGGGTGTGTATGTGTGCTGCGTTTCCTTGCATCGGTCGGTTGTCGATGTCGTTCTCGTCGATCGGATCGGATCGTATAGTCAATTTCAAATAGATTTGGGTGAAAACTGTGATTGTGGCACTTTCCATTACATCGTTTACAATTCCGAAGCGACAGAGAAACCGACAACACATCGAAATGATTCATACACTCTCGGCTCTCTCTCTGTGTGTGTGTCTGTCTCACTCGGTTTCTCACATGAACCATGACACCCCGTTCCATCGAACCCATTCCATTTTGGTCATTTTTGCAAGCATGGCAAACAACAGCAAAAATGTGGATGTGTGTCCATGTCGAACATATTTTGCGCTGTGTGGCATATTTCGCATGTAACCGGATGACACAACTCATTACTGTTGTTGTGAAGCATTTCGTTAGCATCGTTATTTATACTCATCGAATTACTTTATTATTACTGTTGTCATTTTTTCTCATCCGTTTGAATTGGTTTGCACATATATTCCCAATATGAATGAGTACCTTTTTTCCACCCGCCCTTTTCAATTAGTCGGCCGCCACCCGGCTGACAAATGCACTGCACAAGAAGCGAACAACAGCAACAACATAAAATGATCGAACGAATGAACAGAATGAAGAAAATCCCATTTGAATTACAATTTTTACATCGACTGAAACGAGCACAAGTGCGAGTGAGTAAACGAACGCGCGACACTCGCCGAACACCATAAATCTTTTCTTTTATGAGATCGACATCGATATATCACCGCTGGAATCGGCTGATAATCGGTTTTTGAACACAACCTCACCATCTCACTCACTCTCTCTAGCCACACATATATCGGCTTTATTTCGATAAATCGAATTATAGTCTCTTTTTTATGTACACGTAAATATATATAAAAAAAAATTCCGCTGTTATCGATACTTGAATTTGTTATCAGAATGCATGGAGACGGGTTTTTCTCTCTCTCTCTCTCCATCTCGGTTTTGTGTGGTATCGCGCGCACTTGCACCCATGAAAATGTGTAGCATTTTCCATACAAATTGCTTTTCTTCGTCGCGCGAATGACGACGGTAAATAAAAAAAAATCGTTTACATCAAGTGTCTCAGCGATTTTTGGATGTTTTTCATCTTTGTCATCGTCGTCACTGTCGCCGTCGTCATCGTTTTTATTTTTTTATCTTATGCTATTAAATCGAGGACGCCAAACCGCGAGCCCATGACACCGAACATAGTGCTAGATTTATTCGACACATTTTTCGTTCGATTTGTCGCTGTGATTCCAAACAGATTTTTGAAATAAAAAAAAAGACGAGAAAAAAATACACAGTCGACTTTAAGGTTGATAGTGATTATGAACTGGTATTGACATCGAATGAATGCGATTATCATTGAAGCGATTTGTGGTGTGTGTGTGTGTGTGTGTGTGCGAGAGGCAAAGTGAGCGAGCAAGGGAGAGAGATGCGATGAAGAATTCCAACGATGCATGTACGGTAATGCGTTGGCCCCGTAAATGAAACAAACGTCTCGCATTTGAAAATTTCCGTTTTTATCCAAACTGACATTTATAGCAAATGAAAATTCAATGCAATGAACTGGAAAACTAAAAATGGTCATTTGACCAAGTCTAAAAATGCATGAGATTTTTCTCATGCCATGTTGTTTTTTTTTTCGGTTTGGTTTGTTTTTGGTTGGTCGGTCGTTTATTCTCGGTCGTCATCGTCGATAAATTTGGCCAGATTCCATTGAAGTGGAATGTATGCTGTGAACGGGATGCTCATACATATTGCTGTGCGAACTTTGTGTCAATAATCAAGAGATTGAAACAAAAAAGGAGCAACAGCAGCAGCTACAACAACAAAACCAACAGCAAAAAAAAGGTGTCACTTTAAACCAGAAGATAATTTACTTAAAATAAAAGGGAAGACACAGAGAAGAATGGAAAAAACAAAAGAGAGAGAGAAAGAGAGAATCAATTCATTTGTTGTATAAACATTCGGTGCTCATTGTGTGGTACATAATGCCACACAGTGTCAATGTACGCGCATTTTGCTTCTCTCTCTCTCTCACACACACACACACACACACACACAATCACACTCACTCTCTTTCTTTCTCATTTTCTCCATTTGCTTCAATTGCTTCGTAACAAAGCGCATATTTGTCATTCATTGACGTCTTTCTACGGTGTGTGTGTGCATAGTCATTTCGTATGCATGTTCAACTCAATTATAGTGAAAAGACGAACGTTTGCTCGCTCATTCAAACCCATTGAAATGTTAACCTTTAAGAAGTTGGACGAGCAATAAGGATGAAAAATTAACAAGCTAATGATATAAGTCATTAAATCGAGAACTAAGTCGAGACAGGGAAAGAAAAAGAGAGAGAAAGAGAGAGAGAGAGAGAGAGAGAGAGGGAGATAGAGAAAAAGAAAACTTGGCAGACGCATATATGTACAATAATTAAATCTATCAATTTTTCAAAGCCAAATGTTTGTCGTCTGTGGGACGTGTCACATTCTTTAACTGCACCTGGATCACAAACCAGGCAACAACTGCAACAACTGCATCAACAGCCGTAGCCATAGCAGCAGCAACAGCAGCAGCAGCAGCAAAAAAAATATATGAATGCAATCATTTCAATGATTTGCAATTATTGCATATTGGCATACTCTCTGTGTGTGTGTTTCCTTCGATTGTGCGTTGTTTGGCGCCTGTCACTCAATTCCAATGCGAAGCCAAGCAAAGGTTTTTGAAGCAGCAACAACAAAACATCAGCAGTCACAACAGCAGCAGCAACAGCAGGCTGCAGAACAAACGCAGCAGTTTAAGCCAAGTGTTCTCGCCCTCTTTTTATTTGCTCTTCTCTCCACTCAAATTCCAAATGCCGAGCAATACACCGGTTATCAACATCCATATTTACACTCGAGGATATTTCAATTGGACAAAAGCTACTTCTCGCTGTACTCAAACGAATGAGAGAAAAAGCAGAAAAAAAGTGTAAATCGGATGGAGTATGTGCGTGTGTTTGATATATACACGAACCAAAAAAAAAAATTGGTTTGGCGAAACTCGTGTATCGAAATGCTTGAAAATTAATATCCACGTTTCATTCATTCTCGGATTCTATATCAATTAAAATAGATAGCGTTGGCATGAAAAGAAACGATGGCAACAACAACGTTCGAAGCGAACAAAATAAAAACAAAAAGCATAGGGCGAACGGGAAAAACGAATTACATTTTTAAATGTCGCCTACATACGAAAAACTCTTTACTCATTAGAATCGATAGCTAGATCGCTGTCGTCGTCGTCGTCGTCGTCATTGTGCTTGGAGTCTGTTTTGTTTTTATTTCTTCGGTTCTTCGTTTATGTGCGCCTTTCCATTTCTCAATTTCAAGTTTCGTCGCCAATTTCCGAAGCGATTTTTTAAATGAAATATAGCCGAATTGAAAGGGACTACGAAACAACTATTCGCTATGAAAAATGGGTCCAGCCATGCAATATGCAATGTGCGATTCATTTTGATATTTTTTTTCTTCTCTTTTGCTTGTTTGCTGATTCGGAAGGGTTGAGAGCATAGCATAATAATGCAGACATATAAAAACAACATAGACAGAAAGTGCACTTTTGGATTCGCAGCTAGATGCAATATGTAAAAAATATTTTGTGTATGAGATTGTTGTTTCTGATTACACCTACCACATGAATCCATTTAGAGAGCGAGAAGAAGAAAAAAAAAGTCATACACATGAGCGGAACTCAATTAAAACATACAGATGATCTGTGTTCAGCCTGAGTGAAGTCGAAGTACAGCCCAAAAAAAAAAAAAAATCGACAGACGCAACGAAGAGACAGAATTGAACGGAACATGTACACACATTAACCGAATTGGAAGGTAGTCTCATCAAATGGAAAATTCATCACCATCAACTAGAATCTATATATGTGTGTAAGCTATTATTTGCTTCTTCGTCTTTCAACGCCTAATAATTCACCCACACACAATCACGCGCGCTGTGCTGGGCCATTTCACACTTATGCTTTCATGCACAACAACAACATTTGCTCATAGAAAATATTTTGGTTTTGTGTTTTTTTTTTCTTCTCATTTTGCTTGGCCCATCGATAGTGATATAGACAAAATAATGCTGTTTTCCATTGACAAATTTTCTTACTTCAATCGGTCGTGCTCTTTGCCAAGACTACGAATTTTTTTTTTGCTTTTTTTTCTCTTCCTTCTGGACCATTCATTTGGTTAATTGTTTTTCGTGTGTCTATTCGTGGGTTTTATTTTTTCATTCCTTTTCTAAACACTGACTGAAAATGCACACTATACTCATTTACCCGAAGTCAATGTTTATCGCGCAGCAGCAGCAGCAGCACTCGTCGTAGTCGTTTTGTAGTAAAAACGTCGGTGTTTTTGGATGTTATTATGTGTTTTTTTTTCTGCTCGCGTTGAAAATTATCGGAATTAAAAAAATGAGTCGTCGGTAAATGCTGTTTTACTCTTTAAATACGAAAATTTGCCCTGGAAAAATGTTGTCGTTGTCATGCTATGTATATCCACCGTTTCATTTCCATTCGAATATTATTTACTTTTTTTAATTGATTGTTGCGTTTGTGTGTTTTTTCCCTTTTATTTCCAAATTGTTAAATGCACTCACGTTCTATATTTCTCCAGCTGTATTTTTTCTGATTTAATTAACTGCACCACACTAAACTGAATTTTTGTTTTTTTTTTTACTTCTCTTCTCCTTCTTTTCTGTCGTTGTCGTCGAAGCTGCAGTCGAGTTAAATCGGTGTTTCGTTTCGATTAGCACACTACAACAAAATTGTGAAAGAGAATTAGCTTAGCACACTTTAGCCTCAACTAAACCGATTTTCTGCATAATTGCAAAGAGTCACCGAGTGATCAACGTTTTCGTGTCATTATTTTTTTTTGTGTGCAAATGTTTTTCTCTTTGAGTAATTTTTTTTTTCTATTTCACTGCTTCTTGTTTAATGTCCTCGCTTGCGCTTATAATTTTTAACACACAACACATAAGATATGTGTCGAGTCGACCATGAGACAGAAACCGTACTACAAATGCTACGAACAAACAAGAATCGAGAGAAGAAAAAAAAACACTCAACGATAAAAACGACGAAGATGGCAACAAAAACACCAATACAGAGACACACATCAATTCGACACGACACCGAACACCGTGCGCGCAACAGACAGAGACACGCGCTGGAATATATCACTCCATCCGTCTCGCTTTTGCACATACATTCAACATACATCAATTCACATACACTTATGCAACGACGCAACGCACTACGTTTTCTGGAAATTGATAAATGTTTGTTTTTGTTCATTTCAACAACCGTTCCCGAATTGAGTTTGTTTTGGTGTGTGTCGATGCGTGTGTGTGCGTGCGTTTGTTCATTCGCGTACGCTTGTGTATGTGAGTGATGTGTATGCATGCGTGCGTACGTACGTACTATGAAATCGTAGTAACAGCAGTTGTACAATAAAAGCAACAAAATCCATTAATGCAATCGACTACTACGCTCGTTATATGTTTGTAAAAGCCCTATTATGCCGCCGATTCACAATCCAAACGCCTATTGGAATATATATATATATATATATGTAGACGTAGATAGGCATATGAAAATGCCTCTTCTAACACACATTATACCATACCGTACACTTATCATCGAATTCAATCTTAATGACACTGTCATCGTCTCGTATCATTCCATAAATGATTCATGGAAATGCGACTCTCTTCGGTTTCGTCTTTCTTCTAATCATTCAATTTTTTTTTTCGCCGAAATCTTCGAAAATTTTACATTTTAAAATGATAAGGTATTTTTCTTGTTTTCATTTTGTTGCGCCCACGAGAGAGAAGTGATCGACCTGATGAACCCTTAGTATTTCATAACCGCACAACACATGCCTCCAATTGCAATGCATTGACAAAGAACACCCATACCAACATACCATCTAGAAATGGTCGTGTAACAAATGCCGTAAAACCTATTGGATCCCATTCAGATTGTTCGACATTGCCTGAATGAACCGCAGTGTGAAAAGGACAACTAGTTGAGTAAATCAGAACGATGATTATGACGACGATGATGATTATGATGATGAAAAAGGCCCATTCAAATGCAGGCCTCTAACATGTAACATCAGAGCAATTGAGAACGAGATTTTCTGTTGACACACTGCCTTTTTTCGTTTCAAATATTTATGAATTTTCGTGGTATCGACAAAAGAATGACTGAATTAATAATACTCCATTATTCAAGCAGTTGCACGGTATAAGCATTTTATGCTTTGATTTTCTTTGTTTTTGGTTTGTGCTGCTTTGTTTTATGAAACTGTTCAAGTAGCACACCATTAAACGGGAATATCCCTTTGATCCTTTCATGATTCCATATGTTGGTAGCTTGTGATTTTTACGTTTGAATCACTGATTCACAACGCTTACTATTGTTGAGTGCAATATTTTGCACTCTGGAATGCATATTGAGGTGCTTTTGAACATTTTATACCACACGCATGAATATGGTGCGAAATTTATTGTTTTTTCGAACTGCTGGGATAGTTTTTTTTATAAATATTTATTTTTAGTACTGCGAATTTCATGTGAATTGGTCTATAATTTTATTTTCAAGGGAATTTTCGGCTCAAGATCTCATTTAAAAAGTCAAGGTGTATTTTATTTTGCACACGTCTCTTGTAGTTCGCATACTGTTTTGATGTTTTATTTTGGATCAATTCTTGGCATTGATTCCTCTCAAAGAAATCATTAAAATTCGTGCATTTATGTATAGAAAAGGCCGACTCACAAAAATCCAACCTGTTTTAAAAATGATGTTTTAATTATGACGTCGAATGTGTCTATTTTTTCTTTGAATGCTTTTATTCTTTTGTATAAATTCCATCAAAACTATAAAAAATCATTCATTATTTTACGATTGCTACCGTTTGCTTGAGCGACTTTTGAAGATAGATTCGTTTGAAACGACTTAAATTTTAATGATCATCGAGCAAAGTGAAAGAAAATATCATCACAAAAACGATATTGAGCTGAGCATGAATGAGCTTTGAATATGAATTGTCGCTTTGATTAGTGAACTGAGATAATATCCGATCAACTTTCAAGCTCATATCTTTAGTTTTCTATTGAAAAGATTTACGGATTTACAACACAATTTATTACACAATTAATATGGCTTTGACAGGCGATGCTTGTTCACATTTTCTATTTCTTCCGTCAGTTTTTCTTCTTCTTCTCCTTCGTTTTCAATGTGGTTATCACTTTAAAGTACTTGCTTTTTAAACAATGTGATATTTTTATTATCCAGTGCACTTATACTAGAAATGGGGCAATCAATCCACTTGCTTTGTATCGTCTTAGCCCACGACCTATTGAGATTCTCCAGGAATTGAGAAATTTCTGCTTTATTCTATCAAATGAATTTTAACCGCAGTTGTTCAACGTTTCGATGTCTCACGGATGGCTTCAATATGTTCAAAGGTCTAGTTGACTTCAGTTGAAATTTTGTTCGCGTGAGCAAAAGAAAATGTTGTAGGAAATTGTTCAAATCGTACCCAAAACCATTTTCGGGCGAAATTCCGAAAAAAAATCGTTTGAAATTTTGTTTGTTGACACCTCTGAAGACAACGAATTTACATCGGTCCGAAGAAGGGTGAATTAATAACACACGTTTCACGGCAATGAATTTTTCGCATCAAATTGTGATTGCTGTTAAACATATATAGTTAAATGAAAATGGGATATTGTTTGTGGGGACTTTGTAGACACTTTAAATGGCGACACAAGCAATCGCCTGGTCAGTCAGTGAGAGAGAACAAGAGAGAACAACTCTTCAGAACATGTTCTGTGATGTGCGTGCGTGCGTTTGTTTATAGCGGTTGACTCATTACGGCTTGTTGTTTGCAAAAGTGACGAATGGTGTTGGATAACGGTGTCTGCAAATGACGGCGATTTAACCGATATTAAATGCGGTTGGAATCATCGATCGATTTGTTGGTTCGATGATGCTTCATCTACATGATTTTCAACTTAATTTTAGCGCGACACTTCACATATTCACACACCGCATGCTGGTTGCAATCGGTTGTTTTCATTAAATGTGGAGCATGTTTATCGGTTCTTAGTTCGTATGCCTTTTTGGGGTTGGTTTGCTTTATGTGATATGATATTTGCACTATGTGCGTGTGCAAAAAGTCATCATAATCACATTGCGCAAGCATCGATTGGTGCTACCATCATTTTATCTGGCCGAACAAAAGCTCAAGCACGCCTGGTCATTCTGAAAGCAATCGAGAAGTTTTGTATAAAAGTCGAATGCAACTGTTCGCTGTGCCGCATATTCTCGGCGAAGCTCAACAAATTCAAATCGACAAGTGTGTACGGACATTTTGATTGAATTGAGAGAAGAAAGTGTTTAGTTATTGTGTGTGCGTGTGTTTTTATGCAAGATAAAAGGGACACAGAAGGCTTTTTGCAATATGAAACTGTTACACGACATTCGGAGATTGCATTTGCTCAGCGAACAACAACATCATACGGCCATTTCATCGATGCTGGTAATTTTATTTATTGCCTGCTTTCACGTAATTACCACTAATGCACAGCAAAAAGGCGATGAAGTGTGCGAAACGTTACCATCCGAGATTCATCTAATCAAAGGTACATTCATATATGAGATTGAATTATTTATGAAACAACTGATTTACGACACAATTGATTTGTTTATTTTATTTCTCATCCATTTCGTTCGGCAGAAGAGTATGATGAATTGGGTCGTCTGCAACGTACATGCAACGACGAAGTGCAGGTCAACAAGTGTGAAGGATTGTGCAATAGCCAAGTACAACCGTCGGTTATTACACCAACTGGATTTCTAAAAGAGTGCTATTGCTGCCGTGAAAGCTATTTACATGAGCGCGTTGTCACTCTAACACATTGCTACGATCCGGATGGATCACGACTCACCGCACCCGAAATGGCAACCATGGACATTCGTCTCAAGGAACCAGCCGAATGCCGTTGCTTCAAGTGCGGCGATTTTTCACGATAATTTCGATGAAAACCAACACACACATTTACGCGCTCTCAATTTTCAATTGATCTTAGTCACGTGCTTAACATCGGTGAATCAAATACCTTGTGTGAAACTGTTCGTTTGAAATTTATTGGAAGAAAATAAAGAGCATTATTGTATTGAAATAAATATACGTATTTTCATTCGATTTTTTTAGCATTTCTTTTCTGTGATTTTCAGAAGATTTTTTTTCATGCTTCGAACGATCGAGTCCATTTCACTTGTAGATTATGTTCAAATCGGCAAAGCTTTACTAATTCATCAATTGAACCACTAATTGGAAATACGGTTAAATATCTGGTTGCAAAAGTAGGTTATTGGAAAACGATCTGAATATTTCCCAAAACAAAATCGTACCGTATCGAATCACTGTTCCTTCTGAAACATTCGATTTCGTCTGACTAGAATATTCATTGTATGCCACAATTGCATTGAAACCGCCATCCTTAGCGACAGTTTAGACCAAAATGGTGGATTTTATGCTAGGAAACCTATTATTATGGTTGGAAAGCATGCATTGTGCATTAAATTATTACCGAGTACATGACGATAGAAAAGCCAAATGCTTTTATGCACAATGCCGCTAAATCAAACATTTATTTATTAATCTTATTTTTTATTTAATCATTGATTCACATGTACAATATAATATTTGAAATAGAATACTCCTATACAGTTCCTATAAATATACAATTTTGGAGCCAATATTTTAATTTATTCTTAATACAGAGAATTCTTCTTAAAGGTGATTAGTGTTATTGAAGCTGTTTCCTTCTTTTCATGCAGTTTTTCATTTAATTTATTTTTCCTGGTATCATCGTAAACATAGGACAAATTTGGTTTTTATTATTGAATATTTGATAAGACGTTAGTTGTTTGAGCTTTTTTTTTAAAGAGTTGATTGACTCTTGATTTCGCAGCTCAATCGGTAGCATGTTTCACTCGACAACAATCAAGCGAGAAATTAGGTATTGGTGACTGTTTACGTGAGCATAGTGAATGGATGTGAGTGTGGATGAGTCAACTGTGTTTCCTATTCCATGGATGATCCCAGATATATGGTTTATTTTTACAGCTATTTTATCAATATTATCTTCCCAGTGGAGAATTTCTTGTATAGTAAGTCCGAGATAATCGAAAGATTTAACTTTTCATTCGAAATAAATCCAAACCAACTCCTTGAGATCGTTTCGTGGAGCTCCAGTATTGATTCAGCTATTTGCCGCTACATTCAAATGAGAGAAAAAATTCTTCACAAGAAATGTTGACTGCACTAATCCATTTAACCGCAACTTTTGGCCCGTAATTGAATGATTCGCTCCGCAAAAGTGCATTTCAAAAGCTTGAGCTAAAGCTTAGCACGATTCATTGACCCGAAGCGATAAAAATGGTCGAAATCGGCATTGGTTTTTGCGTTTATCGTTCACAATCGATTTGTTTTGGCATCAAAGGGCTCCCTCTTTCTCACTCATTAGCGTTAACACTTTTTGAAAATTGGCGTTGGATAGAGTAACGTGCGCGCAGCATGACATTGATTTTATGTGTATTTCCAATAATTGAAATCCTGTGTCCAGTCGATAAAAATGGGCACAATTCGCAATTTCAGTGGAAAAAAGTCGTACACACGTTTTTTCGTGGCTGCGAAATGATGCTGACCGAATGAGTTGCATGCAAACCCACTTATTCAGCGACGAGCACAATGACGACGACGACGACGAAGACGTTAGAAGAAATCGTTATCGAAATAACGTGTCTGTGGCATCGAAAGAAGCCGGCTCCAGTAGTGCTGATCATGATGTAAAAGGGTTTTGTGCGTGTGCGTGTGCGTGTGTGTGTGCGTATGCATGGCCGCTTGTTAAGTGGAAAAGCGCTGCGAGCCGGAGAATTTTGCATGAGCACAAGATCACAGTGTGTGGGACCAAGTTGGAAAGAGAAGGAGAGAAATGTGTCAGGAGTTGATTATTACAGCCGATTGAGATGGAAATCGCCGATTCATTTTAGCCGCAACGCATGCCTAGCACTCATCAAAGAAAAAAAAAACGAAAACCAAATCTATATAAAGTCGAGAGCATGCCGCTTTTCGCACTCAATCTCGTAACGGTTTTTCGATTCAATACACTTGATTTCTTCATTTTTCGTTCCATTTTGATTTCAACTTTGATTTGACGAACACTTTGACTCTTAAGTAGAACTGTATTTTGTTGTTGTTGTTGTTGTTGATTTGGGGGGGCACAACAAGTGATACGATATCGTGAGCTTTTGCAGTTGTGTACGCAAATCGAAAGAAAAACAAAAATGAACAGGCCACAATTGAATACAATGTATAGATCAATTTTAATTGCTTTAATTTATGCGTGTGCTATTGGCGTCCATCAGACTTCGGCACAGAATGAAGTGAAAGACCAAGCGCGAAGCGGTGACGAGTGTCAAGTCACACCAGTGATACATGTACTTCAATACCCTGGCTGCGTACCGAAGCCAATTCCAAGCTTTGCCTGCATCGGACGATGCTCCAGCTATCTTCAGGTGAGACAATTTTTTCAAAGCATCGATTAAATGAAATTGCATAGCACACGTCAAACCTTAGAATAAATATCATTTGCAAATTATTATAAACAAATAGAAATAAAAATAAATAAATCCGAGAAATGAATTACTAAAAAAAAGAACAGAAAATCGTAAATATAAAATCGATTTGGAATAAGTAGATGAGATTCAAACGTAACGCGATCAATTTGAATGACACTATTTTACCAAATTGAAAAAAAAAACAAACGAAATAACTAGAATTTTGAAGAGTAGAAAAGAGATTTGTTTCGCCCTTTCTTCAAAATTTAAAACGAAAATGTCCAAATACGTTCATCAGATAAGAACTATTTTATATAAGAAGAATTTTTTTTTTTGTCAAAATTGACCACTTCCAAATAGGATACAATCAATAAATATTGTTTTCTCTTCGATAATAGGTTTCGGGTAGTAAAATCTGGCAAATGGAGCGTTCCTGTATGTGTTGTCAAGAGTCTGGTGAAAGAGAAGCGGCCGTTTCGCTATTTTGCCCGAAAGCCAAACCAGGCGAACGCAAATTCAGAAAGGTAACTTTTTCTCATAGCCTGAAATCCAGGCCTTTTGTTTGATATTTTTCATTTTGAATTTCCAAGAATATGTTTCAATTACCTTTGAAGTTTCGAATTCTTCCATCGAATGATTCATTCAGAATGAACCAAAGAAGTTCAGTTTGTTCAGTTACTCACCATATGGATTGATGTTGATATAAACTACGGTGCAAAATCAAGTTTGAATATTGTTCTACGGTAAAAACTTTTACCGTCCAACTTATTTCTTCTCTTGGTTGCCTTTCAATCAAAATTCCAGAGACTTGTTCCATTGTGACATTTTCCTTTTATTTTGATTGCTATATTTTTGGTCAAAAGATGAAGTCCATCAAAAATTTTTACATCCAACGTGAAGAAATATTGCATAAACTCGAAGAGCATTCCGTCTCAATGTCTTCCTCATATTAGGCGAAAATACATCAATGTTAATTTTTTTGTTCTTTCTTCTTTTCTCTTTTTTTCCACATCTTTGTGAATCCTTTTTTTTTTTAAAGAAAAATGTTGTTTGATTTAATGGAAAAAGTGAAAAACAAAATATTTCAATATCTCCAATACTGAATTTATCATGAGAAAATTCAATGATTTCATCTATACAGACGTAAAAAGAAATCGGAAATTCCTAAGAAAAAGTCGAAAATCAAACGATTTTAATATAATTCGTTACATTTTCGTTGAATGATCAATTTTCTAAATTTTTTGTAAAATTTCCGTATTGGTTTGCAGGTGTCAACAAAAGCGCCATTGGAATGTATGTGCCGTCCATGTTCGGGTGTTGAGGAAACGTCAATCGTGCCACAGGAAATTGCCGGCTACACCGATGAGGGACCGTTAAACAATCACTTCCGAAAGGCTCAACTGCAATGAGATGCGGCTCGGATGCAACATTACATTCGATAAAACAATTACAAACAAATTCCTAATTATATGATTGTGATTTTGGTTTTTAGTGTTCAACTGTGTTCTAAAAATGAGAAATGAATCATAAAAAAAAAACACAACAAAGTTTATTTAAGCTATAACACTTACACGATAGAAAAAAAAATTTATGATGATCACTCCACATGCGCCGTGTGTTGCCTCTTTATCAAACATGAACAAACAAACGAAAAGAATAAATCAAGAGAAAAAGACGTTGTCCGGTTTTTATTGTTATCATTTATTATCGTAATAATTTCTTATTCCGTAGATTTTAGTAGTTTTTTTTTTTTAAATTACAATACGTTCACAAACAAATCAGAGAATTTTCTTTTTTTCATGTTTCACCATTTTCTTCATATAAAAACGCAAATCGAGTATGAAAATACTCCGAAATAGAGGATAAAATCTACTGAAACAAAAGCGTAATGAATTTTCTAATCAGAGAAAAAAAATAGTGGCTAATTTTTCGTATTCATTTTCATCCAAAACGCGCTTAAATTTTTTTCTTTTTTTTCGCACACAACAAAAATGTATCACCAATATTAACTAATTTCTAGGATCTTAAAGGATTTTTCAATTATTTTTCCGATGAATTTCTTTTTACAATGATTTTTTTTCCGGGCCAAACAAAACTTAGTGGCCGATTACAATAATTTGATTGAAATGGGATTCGATATATTCAAAGAAAAAAAATGAACGAAATACGAATTGAGAGAAAATGCTTGGCTTTTTCATTCATGCAACCAAAATATTAACATTTTGCTTTGTCCGCTCACATATTTTGTTGTCTATTGCATCCAAAGTTTTTTTTTGGTTTGTATTTCATTTATCTTTCTTGTTTGGTTTGGATTTAGTCCGTTAAATATTTGTTTGTTTGTTTTTTTTCTTTTGATTTTTCTTAATTCGCATATTTTTTTGTTGTCCTTTCGTTCCATCCATCAATAAATATATGAATCAGCTCATTTAATTTGGCCACCTCTCAACGGCAGCTATGTTTTTATTTCCTTTGTTTTGTTATTTTTTTTTTTTTATTATTATTGAAGAATAGGCTTTTAATTCGTTTTGATAAAATAGGAAGTGGTAACAAGAACATAATTTATACTTGCATGTGGATTATTCTCTCTCTTTGTGTTTTCTTTTTCTCTGTGTACATATTATCTACTGGATCTTCATAAATATATTTTTATACAGTCATGGACTAAATTGAGCGTACGACTACCAGAAAAATGTATCGCGGACTATTTCATGAACCTAATTTATTTTTTTCAATCAATTCTTTGCACTGTTTGTTGCGTAATTATGTGAACTAATAGTAACCGAGAGAATTTTGAATTTTTTTTTTGGATTTTGTGATTTTTATTGAAAAATGTAGATGAATGTCATTTTTGTGCTGGACAAAATTGAGCGTATGGTCCGTTTAGTATTTGTTTAAATAGAGAAAATTCATGGAAATTGAAAAAGTGGGGATACAGTATGATGCACAAGCTCATGTTGCTTCGAAATGGTATATATGTTTTGCTCCACCGAACCGTTGTTTGGGAAATGGAGACGGTTAAACTTTTTTTTTTCACTTTCATCACCTTCAACACATATGAATATTTCTTGAACCAAGAATGATATTGAAGCATCTTAACCGGCGTTTGAAAGCTTGAGGTTAGACCAACGAAATGCAATAATAACCAATCAAATATTTCAAGTACTTTAAAAGATACAGCCGTGAAAGTATGACAGCTGATGTCGAAATAGCGCCATTTATTTGACATTTGAGGTTATAACTCACAAATGGTAAATTATTTTGACATCTTGTCTTGATCAAATTTACTCTACTCATCAAGTGCTACAACTATGCTGAACATGTCAATCCCAAAAACTAACTCTCTTAAAAAATAAACGCTGAAGTACCACAATGTGGAGTCCATGTAGTATACTCTTATATGGATCATTTCGTATTAACGGATTTTTGGCTGACAAGATGTTGTTTTTTGTAGATGACTAGAAGAGATAATTTTTTGTTCACATCAAGAACTGGAAATTTGCTCAATATTTTCTAGCAAAAAATAACATCTTGTCAGCCAAAAATCCGTTAATACGAAATGATCCATATAAGAGTATACTACATGGACTCCACATTGTGGTACTTCAGCGTTTATTTTTTAAGAGAGTTAGTTTTTGGGATTGACATGTTCAGCATAGTTGTAGCACTTGATGAGTAGAGTAAATTTGATCAAGACAAGATCTCAAAATAATTTACCATTTGTGAGTTATAACCTCAAATGTCAAATAAATGGCGCTATTTCGACATCAGCTGTCATACTTTCACGGCTGTATCTTTTAAAGTACTTGAAATATTTGGTTGGTTATTATTGCATTTCGTTGGTCTAACCTCAAGCTTTCAAACGCCGGTTAAGATGCTTCAATATCATTCTTGGTTAAAGAAATATTCATATGTGTTGAAGGTGATGAAAGTGAAAAAAAAAAGTTTAACCGTCTCCATTTCCCAAACAACGGTTCGGTGGAGCAAAACATATATACCATTTCGAAGCAACATGAGCTTGTGCATCATACTGTATCCCCACTTTTTCAATTTCCATGAATTTTCTCTATTTAAACAAATATTAAACGGACCGTACGCTCAATTTTGTCCAGCATAAAAATGACATTCATCTACATTTTTCAATAAAAATCACAAAATCCAAACAAAAAATTCAAAATTCTCTCGGTTACTATTAGTTCACATAATTACGCAACAAACAGTGCAAAGAATTAATTGAAAAAAATAAATTAGGTTCATGAAATAGTCCGCGATACATTTTTCTGGCAGTCGTACGCTCAATTTAGTCCATGACTGTATATTTATAGATTAGTTTATTAGATAGATAATAATTTTTGTTTTTGTTTTTGTTGTGGTGTGTGTGTGTGTGTGTTTGTTAAATATCTCGTCTGTTGCACTGTGTTTGGTTGGCCGTTTGCAATTGTACCGAATGACCAAAATTCGGAAAAGTTTTGGTCATGAGCTGTTGAATGCTGGTCAAAATGCGGAAAAGTTTCCATTTCCAAGCAATTAGAATCTTAGTTGCTGCTTTGCATTCGAATTCAGACGTTCATTTTTCAGTATTCATTTAATCACACCGAAATAGTCTTCATCAAACCAAAACTTTTCATCAATTTGGAACCATTTTCTTCTTCCACCTCTTCTTTCTCCTTCTCCTTTTTCTCTATCTTCTTCATTCGAATTCGATATTGTTTGTGTGTCACTTGGACTGTGCATTCAGACGAGCATATTTGTGGAAACGCGCGTCAAAACGATGATCTATATAATTTATATATTTTCTGAACATCATCTGCATTCTTGACCCGCCACCCAAAGTCACAATAGTAGTAGATAAGAAATTCAAAAATAGCGATACGGAAAACGGCTTTTTTCTTCTCTTTCTCTTTCTCTCTCGTACACATAATTCTTTATTTTTCTTCACATTTGAGAGAGTAGCTATTTGAATGCACCATTTCTATTCATCTTAAAAATAGTCTAAATAACTACAGATTTCATCATTTCTTCTCGTTTTTTTGTTGTTGTATGTGTTTATTGCGTGGATTGACATTCAGTATATACGTATTTGTTGCTGTTGTATCTTCATCTTCATTCTAAATTGTAACATTATAATAATTGCATTTTCTGTTTTGCTTGAGTTACGCTTAAAAGTTGAGAGATTGGGACAGGAAAAATGCATTGAGGCCCCTCCCCCGCCATCCTCCGTCAATACCATATCGATGTAGAAAGTGTTTTACTTTATTTTCTTGCATCTATTTTGGGCCTTCAATTCAAGTCTTTTCTCCATTGGTTTATCTTTTGTTGTTGTTGTTTAAACTTAAGTGTACGTTTTCATTTGTCCGTTCCGTTATGATTAGTATAAAAATTACAGCAATGTATATATATATATATTAAATATTTTCGACTTTTTAAATGAATATAAATAATTTGTCAGTAATAAGTAACATTTTTATTAATTCTTTTTTTAGTAATTTGTTGTTGTTGTTGTTGTTGTTGTGTTCTTGTTCGGTTTTACCACTAAATGCTAATTTAATACTTTAAATTTGAATGCTCCTCTGTCTCTCTCTCTCTCCATAATTGATATTTCATAATCCCATACGTTCATACATGCAGGTTTGTGTGATATTCCTCCCACAAAGTATCACCGCCTATCATATTACGTGCGACACAATAATCGACATCGTCAATAGTCTCTTAGCCGAAGGGCCAGTTGATCCAGCCTTGTTTCATTCACAGAAAATATAAATATTCGGCACCGTCCGATGTGTGTGTGTGCGTTTGAGTGTGTCTGATTCGCTCATAATTCCATATTTTCTTCAGAGACAGACAGAATGTTTCTAGCGCACACAGTTTGTCACTCACATTACCATTTCACACGTAATATGCATGCCATGTGATAAAATTTATATGCGATATACATATATCACATGATGAATATCACCTAAAAAAAGCAAATGTGATGCATGAATCACTTTTAATCACGGAATATATATGGTATCAGACTTTCATTTGTTCTGGGTTTTGTTTCGATCTTTCTTTTTTAAGATGAAACAAAAAAAAAACAACACATTTGACATATTACTATAAAACCGTTGCGTTCCGATGTTCCATTTGTTTACGTTCGTTCCTATCATGTTTGTTCAGCAGCTTATTATGTTAAAATAGAGATAGCCGGTACGGAAGAAAGTTTGTGATATATTTTTTTTCTTTTATTCGGATGGAAAAATCAACAATGAACTTTGACAAAGGAGAGGTGCAATGATTCGATCAATTCGATTTGAGCTTTAGCTACTGGTGAGTTTGGAAATTGGAGCCATTTGCATTTTGGTTCACGTTTTTGTTCGATGTTGCGTGAAAGACTTGGAAATGGTTTACATTAAATGTTTCCTTGTATGATTTTCATGTTTTTTTTTCGTCAAAGAAACTTTTTTCAACATTTCGAAGAATTCGAGTTGAAGTTCATTCAAGACAATTCTTTTCAGTCTAGTTTATTTCATTCGCATCGTGTCGAACCAAATGCTTGGCAATTTTGCCTAGCGTCCAACTGAATGATCGTTCTTTCATGTCCGTTCAATTGCATTGTTGTGGAAATGAGTCATGGAAATTAACTTTTTGTCTTTTCGTTGCAACAAAAACATCATGTGCGGTTACGCACTTTTACAATCTATGGTTTTAAGAGAGACATTTTTTTTCAACAGATTTTTTTCGCATTTTATTTTCAAAAATATGTGGATTTATTTGATCTGCGCATCTTTTTACTATAAATAATCAGTCAAGATGTTTTTTTTTGTAAATGTTGCGGTTCTTGTCATTCTACACATGTGTGTGTGTGTGTGTTTGTTTGTTTTGCTTCATCATTTCAACCTTGCCTTTGTCAAAAGGCCTAAAATATCGCATCCATATTTTGTTGAAACACTTATTCATTCGTATCATTAGACTTTTTTTCTTTACGGAATCAAATGAAACGAATTTTGTCTTTCAACTACGTATTTTGAGACGAAGATTATTTACGGTGAATTCACTACTGAGCACAGTTCCTGTGCTCACAATCCAAACAATAAAATATGTGGGATTGGAAGTGAAAACATAAAACGACAGGCAGAAACATAGGCTCCAAATAAAAAATGACGGATGATGATTTGAGGTGATCGTCTCCAAACAAAATAACTCAAAATATGGGGGGGAAAAAATCAAGGAACTGACGAAATTTTCGACCCCAACAACTTTTCTTTCCATTAAGTTTAGTAAACGAAAGAAAAATGGTTGAAAAAAGTTGGTTCATTTTTTTGAACGAAAGAAATTTAATTGAAAATAAAAGAAAATGAAGAAGATGCTCACAATGGTTGCGCCTTACATTGGACATGAATTCATTTCAAAATGAAGAGAAAAAAAAAATGGTTGATGGAAAAAAATTGATTTGAATCGAAAAATCCATGGTTTTTTGTCAAATAATACACGAATAAAGAAAATGCGCACAAAAATGAAATCAAATAAAAACCTCAGTGGAAAATTATAAGCTTTTTATTGAAGCGATAACTTGCGATTCATATCGTCCCAAAGAGCAGTGCTTTTTGAAGAGCAACGCGTTCGGAAGAGCAGCGCATTTCG